AAATCTACTCACCCTAAATCTTCTCTTAGATTCTGATTATAAAAATTATTTTTTGCTTTAGATTCATCATATTCGTTTTCTTCAAATCATTCTCTCTACTTACAAGAGAACATCTAACAGTCTTCAAAACTCTTACTGGGAAATCAAGCAAAAACATAATGGACACTGTTAAATCTATCGAAGCGTCGAAGTCACCTGATTGAAATACACGCAAAACCGGAGTTAAGAAAACAACGATTTGTCTACAATAGCGGTTATTTATTGAATAATACACAAAATTTAGTTACAAACCTCAACTCTTGAGGTGTCTGGGGCGTTTAGACACACCCTTCAATTATGAAATAAAAAGGCTACCTGTAACAGTAACATAAAGTATAATTACAACATACGGTAGTACAAAGGACAGCTAATAGCTGTCTAAATTTGATAACAGTTTATGAACAGCCGAAACCCGAATCAGGAGCAAAACATTATGGAAACTGTTACGTTTAAACAAATGCACAAAACTGTAGACAACCGCTACAGCGATTAAGGTACAGTGATTATAATGATAAATACAATGATAAGTACAATAAACGTTATAAGTATATGTGAAGATTTCAGAGTATTACACTACAACTTGCGTTACAACCTAAGTATGAAAATTGTTGTGAATACAACTGCTTACTGAATGTAAATAAGTAGTATAAAACAATATACAAAAGAGTGGAAAAGGAGCGAGTAGGAACAGTGTAAGACAAACTTAAAAGACAAAACAAAGTCAAATAAGAAATAATTAAGATTTTCAAGCCACTAAATGGAGCAGAAACAAATGACAGTGTGTAATAAACAAAACAAACAACCACTTACCAAAGCGAAAGCATTACTTCTCCAAAAAGTATTGAAATATAATACAGGGTGTGCTGAAATTTTTTGAGACCCTAGATTCATCACTCGAAATATCAGAAATAAATGAAGAAATAGTACTCTCAGCTTACGGTATTAACTCTAGGTTGTTGCTGATGGTATCTGGCCAACGGACACTCAGTATCTCTTGTAGATAATTGGTCATACGTTCCTGTACTTGTATTGATGATAGTCTTAGTAGTTCTCCAGCTTTCAGCGTCGTACAATAGAGCTGTCTTTACGTTCGAATTGAAGACTCTGACTCTTGTGTTGCCTTGCAGTCAGTTATTTTGAGTTCCAGATATTCTTCATTTGTAGGAATGTTGTGTTGTGACTTGTGACTGAAGATTAGATGGCAGCAAATTATCGATCGGACCAAAGACGCGCAAATACGTAAGAACGACCTAGAGTCCTGATTGGTCCCGCTTCCCTGTCTAGCCCAGCCAGTTGAGTCCAGAACGCAAGTCTCAGCCTCTGAGATATTAATCATTAAATTTCAGACATACTCTGTTTATATACCAGTCAACCAGACCACATCGTACCATAAAATAGGAAACAACATTTGTACAATATTTGACGAGTGAAATAAACATTGGCCAATAGGAAATGTCCATTTAAAGTCCAAGGATAGCATTAGACTTAACAGGATAATTTTTGGTATATTTTTCTGAATATCCCAACATGTTGACGTTGCTTTGCCAGTCTGTCTTCACATCTACATCAGGTTCTCCTTATTTATCGATGATTCCGGCCAGATATATGTAGTTTTCTGTCTCTTCCGGAGGTTCTCCATCAATTGTGATTGCGTTGATGTTCATTGTGTTATATATAAGGATATTGCTTTTCCCCTTGTTTGTATCGAAGCCTAATGATTCAGACAGAGGCTGTTGCTACACCGGATGTCTTGACCTGCATTTGTTGATGTGTATGGGATAGAAGAGTTTAGTTGGTTGTGAAGTCCAAATTGTCTAGTTTCATCCAAGCTGTCTATTGTATTGCGTGCTTCCCCTGAGATGTAGTGGTCTTCATAATCCTGTTGACCATTAGAAGAAGAAAGAGAAATGATAGGCATAAGCAGCCACGTCTTAAACTGGTTTCCAGTTAAAATCCATCTGTGAGCTGCTCTCAGTGGATTATTTCACAGTGAAGTCTGTCGTATGAATTCGATGTGATGCTTTAATGGGCATATATCTGACTCCAAATCAAAATATACTCACCGCCAACCCCTGTATATAATTATCGACTTAAACCGAATTAGTTAATTACGGAATTAAATAAGTCCAATACGAGAATGAATTTTGAATACGTATATTTCGTACAGTCGTTGGTCTGAACAGATAATAAGAGGAGCAAAGTGACGCTCAACGGAAAGGGTGAGTGAGCCATTTCAACATTTATATTCAGATAAAAGTAAGTGGCAGGCACATAATGAACAGAGCAACCAATTGACACACATATGATCATATAAAAACAGTCAGGGTTAATAAGCAAATAAGTAACAAGGTCGAAATGTGGTTTGAGAGTAATGAATAAATTGGTTTGTCCGGAAGCTAGGATGGCATGTGGGCTTGCAATAGTGCCAGCCATTACAATGTTGACGATCATATCAGATTGACAATCATGTAGAAGAGGGTTCCATTAGGTCCTCCTATTCAAACTGTCAAGCGCTTTCTCAAAATCATGGAAGTTAATGCATGGTCATGGGCGCCATTCAAATGATTGTTCAACCATGATCCATAGTATCACAGTTCGGTCTGTGCACGACCGATCCTTACGGAACCAGGCCTGTCGACCTCGAAGTTAGGCGTTTACTTAATCTTTCATCCGGTTTAGCAACACACTTTTGAAATCTTTTTCTGGTACCGATAGTTGTGTGGTGCATCTGTAGTTCTCACATTTGCTGAGATCTCCTTTCTTTGGTGTCCTGATCAGATATCCTTATTTCCAGTATGTCGGCGCTTGTTTTCCTTCCCAAATCTTCCTGGATGGGATGTGAAACATCCTTACAGCCACCTCTATGTCTGAATTCAATGCTTTAGCTTGTATAAAGTTGGTGATTGGTGAACCCAGATTAGGAATCGCTCTTCAAACACGATAAGATGTTCATTTTAAAGAAGTTTTTAAATTGTGGTAAAAATAAAGAATACTAAACGATAAAAAGAGGAACTGTTAAGTCTGTTTTACATTCTCTACTCTTATTTACTTCAATACGACTCTTTTGCGTATTGTTTTATACTACTTATTATTATTCAGTAAATTGTTGTATTCTTAGCAATTTGTGAGCTTATTTCGTAATGCAAGTTTGTCGTGTAATATCCTGAAATATTACCATATACTTGTTACGTTTTTTGTACTTATCATTATAATTACTTTATCTTAATCACTGTCGCGGTTATTCACAATTTTGTGAATTCGTTTAACCTTTGTATGAACGCAATGGTTTCCATATTATTCGCTCTTGATTCGGATTTCGCTTGTTGGTATACTGTTACCAAGTTTAGACATAGCTATCAGCTTTATTTTGAACTATCGAAGCCCTTTTTATTCATAAAAAAGGATGCGTTAAACGCCACAGAGACCTCATAAGTTGAGGCTTGTAACTGATTTTTGTGTATTATTCTAAACAGAAACGCTATTTTAGACAAATCGTTGTTTTGTTAACTTCTGTTTTGCACGCATCTCGATTGGGTGACTTGGACGCGTTGGTAGACCCAACCGGAACAAATACTAGTGTCAACTGAACAACTAAATAAAACGTCGAAATAGGAATATAAGTGACTTGGATAACGGTATGTAAATTATTTCATATAACTCCCAGTTTTAATGGAATCGTAAATGTTCTCTGGAAAGTGTGTTCCTTGAATAACTTTCAAGTAGTTGTGATATGTATCGCAAAATATGTTTTATGGCTCAATTAAATTCATTTTAATCTGAATATCTTAATGGTATTGTAATAATTTGTTTAAAACTTAGTATAATATGATGAAAATATTCAATGTCATGAAATGCATCTATTCTATTGCATCCTCTCAAAATTTTTGTCGTTATACCTCAAAATGTTGGATAAATATTCATGTTACTGATATGAAATAAGTAGTAGATAATGCTGACTCTATTTAGTTATTTGTCACTGATTAGTAAATTAAAATAAATATTACTCAAATATTCATCAATGGCTTGAGAAAAGTATCACGAAAAGTTTCACAGCACGTTCTTCACTTTGTTAATAAAAGAAATTTACTCCGTATCTTAATTAGTTTTTGTGAAATGTGATTAGCCTCCGAATATCCTGGTACGGTCGAGGGTGGGAGAGTCAGTTTTCCCGCTCCAAATGTTCTCACATGGCCATGCGTATGCAACCATTGCCAGGGAAATACTACTCACTGCTTTTTCGTGGCGTTAGTGTTGTTTACGAAATTGAGAGGACGAAAAGTGAATGTACGGTACTTTAACCGGGTTGGTGGACACGGTGAATCCACCTAGGGGAGTTGGAAAACCTTGATTCAAACCAATGGTGCATATGGTTTCCAGGACCCTGAGTGAATAAATGGCGTATGAATATATTGTTGGTCATCGGTCACCATGGGTCTGCATCTCCTCACGTTGCCCCGCTGCCTTGTAGATTAAACCTTTAGGTCAAAGGCTTTGGGAGTAGCCCCCTAAAGTAACTATCTGCTTCAGTTTGGGCACCCGGGCAGTATCGTAGCCCTCACACAAATCCAGTGACATATGTGGCACCTACGTATTCGATGCCCCTTTATATCAATATTTATGTATTTAAATAAATAAAATAATGTGATTAAAATACCAAAACATTCAAGCAATACATTGCAAAAAATGTTTTCATAAAATGATTAATTTTATCGCTGTCAGGATTTAACTTAACCCTATTTTGTGAATCACTCTTATGAAACAAGAAATACCTCTGTTAATGAATGCATTCACTTAGACTAAACAATAGACTTAATAGGTGTATGTATCTTAGTTAATGTTTTATTATTTAATCAGTATCAGATATGTATCTTACATGAATTTTACAATGTATTAATCATTACTGATAAAATTTAGTCAAACTGATTGGAATTAAAAGTAACTTGAAAATAACAAAATCAGTTTTAATTTATGTTTACTATGAATAATATAACATTCTCTGTAGTAGTAGTAGTAGTAGTAGTAGTAGTAGTAGTAGTAGTAGTATTAGTAGTAGTAGTAGTAGTAGTAGTAGTAGTAGTAGTAGTAGTACCGTCATTACTGGAAATAATCTATTCTCAATTATCAATATGATACTTTAAGCCATAGTAACAAGTATCAGGTCGTATTGTGAGACAATATAATGCTGCTCAATTAATCACAGTTAAAAAGGTTTTGAAGAGTAATATTAGATGACATTCAGCTTATGAAGAGCTTCCTGGAATATATTCACATACATAGTGCTTAACTTGTCTAAGACATGTAAGAAAAAAACCAATATGTAATTAATGATACGATAACATAACCACATGAAACAATCATTCTTTCTGGTGTAGAATTCTTTTCCTTCTTCTCGGTTTGAAGTAAACTCTAGAATAAATCACTTTATAAAAGATGGGGCTTCCATAAAGTGTAAATATCATTAGTACCCAGTTATTTAAATTATTACGTCAACCTTTCACCTAGTTCACATATCAGTATTATACATACTAATAGATATCGTTTCTAACAGTATTATGATCTCATAAATTCGGAAAGGGTTTTTTGTGGATATTATAGTAATTTTAATAGTTGAGATCATGAGTCAATTGAAGCTAGATCACCACTGGACAACCGTTTCGTCCTGTTGCGGGACTCCTCGTAGATTAGCTGAAGTCAGATGGCTCAGTGATCTAGAGGTTAAGCGTCCGCGCGTGACACTAATAGATCCTGGGTTTTAATCTCGCACGCGGTTTCATGGATGCACATTGCTGAGGAAGTCCCACATTAGGACGAAACGGCCGTCCAGTGCTTCCAGGTTTTCCATGGTGGTCTATCTTTAATTGACTCACAAGCTCAACCATTAAAATCTCATAAATTGACCAAACATAAACTGGAATCAGTGTGGTGATATTTTAAAAGGAATTTGATTGCAAAATACAAAAACTCCATTCTAAAACTACATCAGCTTTCAAGTAATAATTATTCATCCTAAACCGCTGCTTTTCATAACCTTCTAAAAAACAAGTATCAAACTCAGATTATCTGAACGCTCAAATGCCAATAAAGATTTAAACTTTTGAATGAATTCTAATCTTCTCTACAAGCTGACGGAATTGTATAATTCTACCGGCTTTCTTCTCGATTTTTAACATGAACCGACCCTTTATAATGTCTAGATGTTGTGATATTTTAATGAAATGCAATGAATTATTAGAACTATAGGAGTGGAATATACTGAGCTCATTATTGTCACTGATGATACTTATCACTAAGAATTAACTACAATCAGGTATATCAGTTTATACTGTCTTACATCGAATCTAAATTGAAAAAGCAAAATTAATCGAAAAATGGAATATCGAAATAACCTATCAAAATGATGGACGATTAATCAATAAACAAACGTTCAATTATAAGATCGTATTTGAAGCTAATCAAATAATGGTTTCATTGATGTCTATGGTATCGATTTAATGTAACTTGATGTATTATGAAAGCAGAACTTTAAGGAGTTGAACAAGGTCAGAGAGCTAAGCAGATTAATCCAAAATATATAACTCAATTGTGTTAATGAAATCATCAAAGGAGAATTTAAGTATTTAAATCTAGTAAGTCCTCAATCAGATTTAAGGTTGTTGAAACCATGTGTTGGAAATCGAATACTTTCATTTTCTTCTTAACTTCAACGAAGGATAATAACTAGAACATTACTAAAACGCCTGTGATTATGTTTTTCATTTGTCAGGGTTTGGTTGATGTTTAGAACTGAAGTTCGTCAATTACTTTTGCCCGGATATTGTCAGACATTTACAAGCATTTATTGTCAAGTACTAAGTAGGACTGGAAGCGCTACTTGATTTCCACTGCTAGCTACTATTATTCTTTGACTAAAAACATCTACAACTATAGTTTCAAGTGATTAAACGCTATAACTTAATTGTCGTAAGTCATTTCTCATAAGCGATGCTTTAACGACTTAACAATTTTTAGAAAGCTTTATTCATCGGTACTATAAAAGGTAAATGTTTGTAGCTATCATAATTATGACTGTAATTGTTTTCCACATACGGAAATATCAAGAATGTATGTTGATTACACCTAAACAATTGATAGTTAATTAGTGAGTAAAGCAAACAACGAACTATCTGCATGGAAGGTTACTTAATTAAATGTTAAATAATAATTAAGAACGAAGTATGGACAACATACCTGTAACTCTTTTGTTCTCGTTTATCATCGCTAAAATTAGCTGTTTCTAAAAATTTACTGAAGATTCTAAAAAAGAAAAACGAGATCAATACAAATATCACTTATCGATAACAGTACTCATTTCATTTACACATCCAGGTGCTATAAATGAAACATTCAAGATGATTTTATCAAGAGCTTGACTCAAACAATGTAGCCATAAGGTTTAGAAGTTTAAAAAATGTTTTCAATGAAAATGAAACTTAAAAATACTATTGCAAAATGAAAGATTTATAGCCATGGTAACCGTGTATCGCATGATATAATTACCAGACTGAGAAAATGCTTAAGTACTCCTTAAACTACTACTTATTAAAAAGTAGTATAACACGAAATACAAAAAACACTAAAGGGACATTGAACTTATCAAACAATATTCAAATATATCTTTTAAAATACATTCAAGTGTGCTGAAAATATAGAAAGTATTCTTATGGATATTCTAGAATTTACGAAAAATTACTTATTCCAAACACATATACCTTTATGACTTTAAACGAAGCAAGAAAATAGATTTAGGCAGAATTACATGGATTCATTTTTATTTTGTTACGTTTTCGTTGACTTTACAAACTGCTTCAATATTTTTTCAATTCCGATTTTTCAAGACTACACTCTGTAGGCGACTGACAAGAACAAAAACTGAATTGATGTTATTCAACTGTGATCAGTTGCTGGAGAGCTGAGGTAACATCCCTGATAGTCGGTAGAAGTGATATTTTGGTGTGTGCTACATATACGGACAGATATAAGTAGTGTGTATCAAGAAATGAGTAGCATTGTTACAGATAGAAGAGAAATAGAAACAGAATTGGTTATTATAGCAACAGGAATGGAAGAATGATGGATTTTATGAGACACAAATCGAGGAAGATATGCGAATGGTGTATTGTTTTCAGATTTTACAAATGTAGTGTGTAATTTTGAATAAATCTCTTAACATTACATTTTCTCGAACCCAATCTTCTACATTCACTCTATTACCAAGTCTTAGAAATCATTACTGATTCGATTCCATTCCCTATTCAGGTTATTGATTGCATCTCATAATATTAATGTACTGTAGTAGATTAAAACGTTGGGTAGATGTGTCAGTTACTATGTTGTTTTTTGACTGAATAATAGGATATTTCATGTATCACTAATATAGATCAAAAATACACTATTTAATGAAAGTGAATGTATTTTCGAATAATAATGTTAACAGTAAAACTATGAATAAACAGACCGAGATGATAAGATGATGTTGACTGAGCATCTCATAAAAAAAGAGTAAGGATCACTTGGTGTCATTTGCTTGTATCTCCCCAATGTTGTTTAGGACTGTCTCTTGTTTACAGGAACATCTAGCTGACGAGTCCCAAATAGAACGGAACACGCGTCGCACTGGATTCCACTGTAGGTCACTAACAATACAGGATGTACATATGCCAATAAAAGACTAATCAATTGCAGTCCTAAACAACAATACCAAGTGAATTTAAACTTCACTCCATTGCATAAGCAAGTGGCTATCAAAACTCAGTAACTAAGTGGATAACACGATGGCATTTGAAGCGATCGGTACTAGATTGGAGTCCTAAAGTAAACATCAACTTTGAGATGCAGATACATCCCCAATTGACGAGTCTTAAATAGAACGAAACACACATCCACTACTAGTCAATATCCATATTTGTTTCTAACAACTTCACCATCAACATAAAACACGTAGTAGCAACAAAAAAAAACAAATAAACACAACTTAATACAATAAATTTAACATACTTGATAAGAATGAATATTCCTGCTGGTGAAAGACCCAATGTAGTACTACTACTATTAGTATTAGTAGTATTAGTCGTACTGGTTGTCGTTGATGTTGTTGTTGTTGTTGTTATATTCATTAAATTTATATTATTATAATTAATTATTGTTGGTAAATTAATTAAATCACGTATTAATATTAATAATAAATCAGATGATATAAAATCTGGTTTCATAATAAGCCATGCATAAAATAAATGTAATAAATTCGTTTGTAAACGTATTAAATTTACTCCAGAATTTGTATTTGACTAAATGAAGAAAAAGGTAAATAAATAGAAAACAAAAACAAAAAAAAATTAATGAGAATAAAGAAAAAAAAATAATAATAAACAAAGAAAATCAATATTCATTCTTGTCCATTGAATGCTACTTATCACATTTGGTCGTCGCTGAATGTTATGTCGGAAACTCTTATCACTTGTACTTGAAACAAGGGACATATGTAGTTCCCACGACGTGAAAGTAAGAACACAAAGATCGGTATAAATGAATATTAATTAACCCGAAAACACAACGATGACGATGACGACAACCTTCGTCGAAAAACACACTCATTTATATATTGATTGTATATATAATTTGATTAATAATGAGGATGAAATTACATATATGAAAAATGCTCAGTTATAACAAATCAGATATAGAGCATAGTTTAGGTCAATCGAATACAAGAATATTGTATATTATACGAGAAAAAAAAGGAAATTGGATTAGAGGTGGTCTTAGTGAACTGAGAGCGTGACCGCAGTGCCCAAAGGACAACTGCTTGAGGTCGATCACACACGACCTTGTTATGGGTAATTTTTATGCTGGCTCCGTACTTGTTGAGACCTTAGCGCCAGAGACCCATATCCGTGGGATAAGGCGAGGTGTGCATTTTTAGGGTCGACCTTTTCTAACCCCACCCCTCCTTGTGGGAAGGCAGCATCGCTGTCATGCTGGTTGTCTGAAGGAAACACCTTACTGCTGTCACACCTCTGTACAGTCAGCAGTACGACTTCGACTTCGGACCTTAGATTTGTTGCTTTTAGTCTTACCGCTCTTCAACTGACCTGTCTGATATGGTAGGACCTTGAGGAATGGTTGTTCCAGCCAGTATAGCTCGGTTGCTTCATCATGATAGGCAAGCCCAATCACCAAGTCAAGGTAGCAACAACGGTCGGGATTATACGAGAAAAGAAAACAATTACTACACTGAATAATCATTGCATTGAGTCATAACGGAGGTAATGTTGAACAAAACTCATAACGAGTAAATCAAATTGAATTTTGACTTTTATTTCCATCATATCAATTCAATTGTAGTGAACGAGAACACACAAGTGAGAACAAACGAATGTAGTTGAATACAAAATTACAAAACACCTTAATAAAATTTAAGAACCATTACAGTAAATACTTTATTTGCAAACAGTCAATTAATTGTCGTAAACTTGACTATTCCTTTTGTAAATATCCGTCCATCATCTCAGACTTGATTGTTCCTGCATTTTCATACCAATTACTTTCTGTTCCCACACTTTCCTTCTCGACCATCTGCCGCCAGACATTCTAATCCTGACTATCATCATTATATACTACATAAGTGGATATAAGTATCTCACATCATACTATTTTTACAAGACTATGTAGAACTTCTTTCTTTTTTCTAAAAAAATATTGTTAATTACTACAGACAAATAACACAACTTTTGTCGTTGGTAGACAGATATCTTGCCTAGGTCATAAATGAACTTAGGGTATATTTAGCATTTGATTCGTAAGGATTCAACAATACTACCTCACTAGTAAATGGCTGGAAAAAGAAGTAGCCAATGACTCCATAGGAGGTACAGTGATAGAGAACTTAGTCAACAGCGGTAATTTAATTCAATCAGATTCAGCATCAGTCTTTAGCTGTCAAAATCATTTCTATAATTTGAATATGATCATAGACAAGACAAATCATAATTATCAGCTGAGATCATATCCGGAAAATAAGAAAAACACGACTGATTCCCCCAAATGTCCGAGAGTGGGGAAAGTCAACTCTCTCTCTCTCTCTCTCGAAATACTCCCACATTGTCACGTGCATACAACCACTGACAGGGAAATTCTAAACAATGCCTTCTCGCGTCACGGGTGTTCATCACGAAATTGAGAGGACGAAAACTGAATGTCCGGCACTGGCTTTAACTGGGTTGGTGAATCCATCTAGGGGAGTTGGAAAACCCTGATTACAAACCAATGGTGTACATGGGTTTCAGTATCCTGAAGCAACAAATGGCATATGAACCAATCGTTGGTCATCGGCTACCATGAAACTGCACCTCCTGACGCTGCTCCATTGCCTTGTTGACCAGACCTATAGGTCAAAGGCTCCGTGTGTGCCCCCCCCAACGAAACCACTCGCTTCGATTTAGGCACCCAAACAGTATCCCAGCCCTCACACAAATCCAATGATCTATGTGGTACATATCTATTTAATGCTTTCTGGTACCTATGTTTATGATGTTTAAATAAACATTCATTCAAATAGGAAAGTAATATAAATATGTAAATAACAAATTATCATTTACAATACTAATTATTACTTTATATCCATTTGTTATTAATGTTGTATTCATTTCTTGTAATGGTGAATATGAATTCATTAATGATGATGATAATGAAGTGAAATTATATTGTAATTGAATAGTATTAATAATTGGTAATAAAAATGAATTATTCATTGGACGACGTAGAATATCACGTAAATGATTAATTAATATTGTAGATGATAATATAGAACCATAATGTTTATCATCATAAGTTTGACCACTAATTAAATCTAATAAACTATATTGTTTATGATGTAATGGAATGGAGTAAATTTCTAAAAAAAAAAGAGAGAGAAAACAGAGAAAGAGAAAAGAAATGTAAATAATTCAAAAGCTTGTTTCTATCAATGAAGTATAATACAGAGAGATATTAGAAATAATAAACAAACAATAATGATAAATAAATAAATTATCAGAATGGGTTTTGTGGAGATTTCAATTGTTGAAATCATGAGTCAATTGAAACTAGACCATCATGGAAAACTTGGAAGCACTGGACGGTCGTTTCTTTCTAGTATGGGACTCCTCAGCAGTGATCATCTACGATCCCGCACCCCGAGGTATTCGAACCCAGGACCTATCATAAAGATGACAAATATAATTATGTAACTATGCTTAAAGTCCGTAAAAATCGATTGTTTTTTTCTCTTTCTACTGAAAGACATAGATTCAACAAACGATCCAGTATAAATGTATACCAATCTAAGCCATGATATTTGATATGAATATAAAGAAAGATTACGTAATTGAAATAATATCAATAAAATGAATATATATTTTGACAGATGGTTATTTGATTTCATATAGTGTCGAATAATGATTTCAATCATAGATTATAATTATCTATCTGGTTCTAACATAAAGTTAGTACCTTCTAAAATGATTAGGAGCAATAATTCATGTCTTTATCAGTTGGGTACAATTACCTGTACAAGACATAAATAAAGGTTTTCTTAATTTTCCATAACAGTATTGTATTTTACACCGAATCCAGTATTATGGTTTTAGGATATCATCACGTGTAACTCTGTCGTTGAATAGAAAAATCCTCTAACGGATTTGAGACTAATTATACATTACATTCTACATACACATACATAAAGAACACTTACCTGAAGTACCATTATCTCTTTTTGTTCTTATAGGTATAAGCATATCCAATGGGCCATAGTTTATTAGTGAATCGAATCCAGCAAGTAGACCACCAGTTTCAATATCAAAAGTTGTATTTGGCCAAGCTACAGCGGTTGTTACCAATAAGAGATCTGGATGTTGTGTTGCGATAGGCTTTAATAGTCGACGAATAGCGCCACGAACAAGAGTAGCTGAACCAAGGCTAATTAATGGAGATAAACTTTCAGAAGGAATAGGTGAGTTTAACAACGACCAATGTTCTTTATCTGAAAAGTATATAGAATGAAAAGTTTGAGAATACCATATGATGGTTGAAATAATCAGTGATAGTTAACTTCTATCTGACCACCTGATGAGTTTAGTTGATAAGCTAAGATTTATTCATCCATATAGGTAACAGGAGAATAGATTATCTCCGTTATACTATATCATACTTCTGAGTTCTTTCCTAGTTGGCTTCAATTATTAGGTCCTTACTTTGTGTTTACAGCACGATACTACTTACTAATATTCAGTAGTTCGATCTATACTGGAACAAAATAAGAACGCCGATGACCTCAGAACATAATTTCGGTAATTGTGTTTGGTTGATTTCCTTTTAGCTGCACACAAGCTAAATATGTTTAATTAGTCCAAATTATTGAAACAATATTGAAGACTGAATTGTCAGACAATAAAAAACAAGTTCTGAGTAATGTAAAGGAAGCTAACAGTTGAAGCTTTAAAAGTTCTTTTCATAAACATCACTTGAGGTAATCAGTTCTAGAATATAAAGTTAACTTTACTAATTAATCTGAAAGAATATTCTTGGAAGTTAAAAAGAGTACATGTGAGTTGAATTTAACAGATTTTGATTACAATGAAATATTACCAAGGCATTTGAAGATGATTTACTGATTCTTCTTCAATACGAAGATCAGACTCACTCCTACTAACCGTTATACTTTCTGTAAATTTTAACAAAGTGGAATGTAACTGTTTATTAAAAACCTAAAACGAACTCATTGCCCCTGTATCCAGTAGGTGGTATGCTATTAACCCACGCAGTTAATTATCTTTTTTGTTTTGGAATACGCTTATTCAAACAAGAAAATTGAACCATACTCATGCCTTAGCGTTGTAACCAATCACATTGTACATATATATATAATGAATAAACAAACAAACAAATAATATAACTATTGAATATATCTTTCACCTGGATAACGACTAGTCATTGTACAAGTAGATTTGTAGAAGTTTCCTTTATGTAATTGACAAAATGGTGATTGATTAACAGTATTCCAAAGGAATGCTATGCTTGAAATAATATCAGGCATTAAACGTAATACCTCCAATTGAGCTTGAACAAAAGGATGCAATTCAGGATTTAATACATCATCTTTAATATTGACATTTTTAGAGTTCTAAAATAAGATGAACAAAAAATTGTGAATAGATAATGAACAGAATAAGCAATTGAAAAAGTAAAATATAAAAAACTACGATTATTTAATTGACAGGTCGTTCAAAAACTGATTGACTTCAAATCGGTAGACAGTATTCAAATTGTTGGCAGAACCATGAACTTGGTATGAAAGGTTATATAGATTCATTTCGTGATAAAGTTAAAAGTATGCACTGATGACGAGTTCCACACTACCATTAAACGACTAATCAGTAGTATCTATTTATCAATGATTGGCTAGATAAAAATCAGTCTTTGAAGTCTATTACAAATAATATATTTAATACTGAATTGACAAGTCTTTGTTTGCATATCCAGTCCTAGACTAACTAATAGTAGGTTAGTAGTATTCGATCAATGGTATCTTCGAAGCATCGCTTGTGTATTTTGGGACCACAAATTAAGCAGTGGATTGGGTTAGCATTTGAGTACTAGGTTACGATGGGAAATCGATTGAAGAGGTAGTAAATCTTCACTAACTGTGGTGATTCAGACATCGATTACATTTACTCCTCTACCTTTCACTTCAACGGGTAACGTCTGATGTAGGAGTAGTCTGGGATAAATCAGTGACAGTCAAACCAAAACACAACACCAGTATATGAATTCATTGACAATTAGACTGAGTCATGTTAGTCGGTATAGATCACTACTAATGGTTAGACTTAAATGATATGGCTCAAAATCGTTTGCAGTGACACAGGCACGTACGCCCTTTCCTTCAATTCTGAGATTCTTAATTCCTCATAACCTACTTTTGCTTTTTAATTCACGAATTTATATTTTCTTCTTGAATCGCACCTTCGATACCTAATCGTTCCTATTACCATTGATACGTCTAGTGTTGTGGGATTTGGTCTGACAATTTCATTTATCTGTGCTAATAAGGTCTGATAACTTGAACCAATGTACATACGTACCGGGTTCTACGTTGTAAGCGACTAATTGATCTTGAAAGAATAACTTGTTGTTGAATAGTAGTAAAATATGCAACGTACATTTCATTTTTATGTATATTTTTTACTGGGTTCCTACTAAGATATTGACAGACTGTACATTAGCCAAAATGTTACATCATAATTCGCTAAGTTATTAAATTACAAAACATGAGTCTTGAATCATGTTCATAATCACAATTAAATAGTAATAATAATAATAAAGCTATAAGGAATATTGGAGAATTAGTTCAAAGTTTATATATACCAAAAGAAACTGATCAGCTTTGAATGTAAACAAACATGAAGCATTACGAATAGTACTTAGATTTCAGATTTAAGCTGTAGTAAGTTATAATGTTCCGGATCCAACACATTTCTTACAATCTGTATATATATATATATATATATATATGATGGCAAAACGAATCAGACAACTGATTTCTCTATAATGGACGTCAGTTTTAACATTCAAAAACCCTATTCGAACTGAATGACCGTTTATAAGGCGAAAATGGAAGTATCAAAGTTTCGAAATCGTCTATAAAGCTTCTGTTTAAGTAGCCGGGCAGTATCACAGCCTACATAAAAACCAAATGTGGCACATATGTATTCGGTGCCCCTTTGTAACAATAGTTATGTGTTCAAATAAATAAAGCATTCTTGTCACTGAGGAACAAAAGTACTCTTAATGCAAATACGTTTTATACATGAAAAATAATCAAACTATTCAAACTCAATCAATAAATCATCACATCATTTGAGAAAATGGCAATCAATACGACAAACAGTAATCTAAATAATGAGATAAAAGAAGTAACTGTTCTACTAACTTTTGCACGATTCAAAAATATTACAGTAGAACTTGGAGAATGAACTGACATTTCTGTCGTCTCCACCTTATCATCTCCTATTCCAGAAGTTAAAATGACAGATGGTTCCAAATTTGAAACATTGTCCACAGATGGATTATTCGTATTTGAACAATGGTCAACATTCTCTGTAAGAGGTGATGGAAACAAAGGATCAAAAGCTGGTACAGTATTATTAACTTCTGGTATAGGTCCACTTGGATTTGGTGGATTCAATTTGTGATGATAAAGAATTTCAGCAATTTCCAAAGCACCTTCTATTGAATCTGGGAGACCAGTTAATTGACTAACAGTTGGTGGATTACCACCACGCAATGATGCACTAGTTTGTTGCAATGAATTCACTTTTCGAGATGACATAAGCGGTAAAGAGGCATTGCCAACTGACAGAAGGAACGCATGACAAATACCTTGAATTAAAGCTAATACAGTTAATGTATAGTCTGGTGGTAAAAGCTCCCATTCATTTGTATTTGATAATCGTGATCTTCTATGAGAATATAGAGAAAAAAAATAAAATACATAGTGGTTGCACCAAAGTGTGCAACATGTATGATTACATTCAGGTAATAAATTCATCTTACAGTGAACAGCTACCGCTTTGTAATTGCACAAGTAGTTCAATTAACTACAACCTAATGTACTTTACTGACATTCGTCATCTTACATTCTAATGAAAGAAAGGGTAAATTGTCATGTATAGAACAACCGTATAGTCTTCTTGTTTCATATTCATTTATTTGTGATCTGAGATACGTATAGATTATTATTATTATAGATGAATTTAAAAAACAAGTTCATTTCACGGATGTAAGTATGAATCAATTCACTAAGATAATGATCATTCAGTTTACATGTTGTATCCTGTATACCACACGATACTTGAACCATTGACTTACTATTTGAATAATAAGCATGTCAGATGATTGAAAAAAGTCGTTAAAAAAACATTCTAAAGCGAAGTTTCATGTTAGTTAGAACTCAATCTTGTACAGTATATCCTATAATTCATCTCCAAACATATAACATAATATGATGTACACAATATCGATTCACTTAAACCAATGACCACATTGTAACTTGATCAATAGAATTCGATCAACAATAAACGACTAAACAAACATAACAATGGGCTATTCACTTAGTAACTAATCAAATATACATAGATAAGTATCTCCACAAACCATCTTCAAGAAAACATACAACTCACCTAATACTATTATTACAACGTGTTTGTATATTCTGACAAACACGATCACATAGTTTATTTAAACTTGAACATATTTGTTTAATAGTAACACGTATTAATGATCCAATAAACCAACCCCAATAAGATAAACTTTTAAATATAAAACAATACCATAATGGATGTAAATCTAAACGAGCTAAGAAAAAACTTGAATAATTAGATGTATTATCATTCGATAATGATGATGATGATGATGGTGATGATAATCCAATCGATAATAATTCAATGAATAAATTCAATTGATCTTTTTCAATACATGAAGAAGTTTTAATCGAGTTAGATGACCACCATAATGTTGTTATACAATTGATATGAAATAATGATTGATGATTTAATGTATTTGGTAATTGATTACAAGCGATTGACCAAATATCAGTGATATAATGAGTTAATAAATCATAACTTGTTAATTCATTATCTAATAGTAATATACTTGGACATACTGGCCATAATAAATTACTATTATTATTAGTAGTATTAGTATTACATAATTCTGTTGATGTTTGACAATTTTGTTGTAATACATAATGATATTTCATTAAAGACATACGATCAGAATAACCATACCATGGTTTTAAATGAAGAATTACATTGAATAATTTTAATAAAGTTTGTAATTGTTTAGTTTGAAATGAATTCGACAAATTTGATAATTGATCATTGACAAGTATTAATTGTAAACATGTTGGAAGTTTTCTGTGTAAAAAAAAGAGGATAAATTTAAAAACATAAATATAGTTGAAAGTGAATAAACACAGGAGATGTTTTGTTTTACATTTAGTAATAATAATGAACAACATGAGGTACGACAATAACATTTCAGGGATATAGAACCGCTTAATGCCCTGTTACGACCGAGAGTGGAGAGAGACAACTCTCCTTCTTAGAATGCTTTAACAGAGACACGTGTATACAGCCACTGCCAGGGAAGTCCTGTTGACTGCCTTATTGTGCCACGAGTGTTGTTTACAAAATTGACAGGATGAAAACCGAACGTTCGGCATTGGCTTTAACCAGGTTGGTGGACACGGAGAGTCCTCCTTGAGGAGTTGAAAAACCCTGATTTCAAAGTGATGATGCACAAGGACTCCAGGATCTCAGGAGAACAAATGACGTATGAAACAATTGTTATTCACTGGCAACCGTGGAACTGCATCTCCTAAAGTTGCTCCACTGCCTTGTTGACCAGACCTTTATGTTAAAGGCTCCGGGTGTGGCCCCCTAAGAAAACCACCTGATTCGGTTTGGGCACCCGGGCAGTATCCCAGATCTCACATAAATCGAATGATTTATGTGGTGCCTATGTATTTCATGCCTCCTCGTACCAATGTTTAAGTGTTTAAATAAAATAATTTTTAAACCTTGACTAATTGATTGAAATCCATCCTAAACAAATCATTTAAATAGATGACCATCAGGTATGCTCACCTAATCTAACATTACAAAACAATTAAGGATATATGACAGAACTAAAATAGAGTGATGTTGAATAAACGAAATACTAGTACTTCTGTAATGGGGAAGACCAATTTATTGTTTATTGCAAAATTACAGTGGCTTCGTAAATTCTGAAGACCATACATTGAATACTTCATTTGTACATTTTCCATCAGTTGTCCTTTAAATTCTTCATGGTTCTTCCAATTTTGTTTTTATTCCGACTCATGACTGTTCTTTTCAGTTTAATCTTCTTAACCTTCTTGCTAAGTTTGAAGCGATTGAGAGTTCATCTAGTCTGAGAACGGAACAAAGACTTGTGACCAAAGACCAATAGCGTTTAAGATTCTCCCAAGTGGGAAATAGGACATGAAGGTGAAAAGAGCACTTTTGGCACGAAAACAAAGAAATCCGAATTTTCAAAATAAAATTACAAAAATAAGGTACTTATCAAGTTAGTTCTGGGGATCTAACATCCCCAACACTTTTTTAGACGAGCATTCCATTTCTGAATGGTGTTAGATAAAATTTACATATGTCAACATAAATAGCATAACATCATACTTCACCCAACCATCAATACTATGAGTGGTACCTATGAAAACATCTAAACATTTTTAGACTGTAGTCAAAATGGCAATAAAAGAGTACTGGAATCCAAACTTTCTAGAGCTTAGTGGACATTAAATTAAATTGTTAACATTACTCTAATATGCAACTATTTGAAACTTAGAAAATTAATCATACCTGATTCCATTTGATGTTGAATAATCCGACCAGTTTTTATCCGTTTTAGGCCAATGTACTTTTGTAATACAAGAGGCTAAACAATGTAAAACAGCAGATGGTATACAAGTATGATGTAAGGTATTTTGTACAAGACGACGTCCATTAGCTTGTTGAATCATAGATGAAAATGTAATTGTATTGGGAGGAACAACGTTTGAATTTGTAGACCCAGTTGAATATACTGAGGATAATTCTGGTATACGTGTACTAGAAGAGGAATTCTTAACATTGGATAAACTGGAATTGGACTTTAAAGCTGAGTTTATCAGTGACGGATTAAAACATTCATCTTGTATCAATACTAATTGCTAAAATATAGAAAAACATTGTATTAAGGTTCCAATGAATTCTAACAATAATACCAAAAAAAATATTGAACATAACTGTCCCAATTACAGAAGTCAGACACAACTCTAAGAAAAATTTGAACTGTTGATAACAATAATAGAACTTTGAGGAACGTGTAATGAATGGTAGGTAGTATCTTAGAGATTAAAACATTTGACCAGTTGATTGCAAGTACAAAATATACTGTCCATTTTCACCGGTTTTGTATAAAACTATGATTCAAATCCGAGTAAATTTTTGAGACAGAGAACGAGAGATTTATTCAAATGATGTGTATGTTTATCCAATATTGATTGCTTAAAAACTACGAGGGATTATTTTCATCGAATAGGATGAATTAATAAGCATCAGTTATCAACAACATAACACTTATGAGATAGGTAGATCAATCATATGCCCCCAAATGCCGTGGTATGCCCGAGAGTGAGGTGGGCCCTCCCTCCCTCTTGAAATGCTCTCATACGGCCATGCGTATACAGCCTCTGCCAGGGAAGTCCTACTCACTGCCTTCTCATGGCGGGGGTGTTCTTTATGAAAATGAGAGGACGAAAAGCGAATGTCCAGCGCTTTAACCGGATCTTAAACCAATGGTGCACATGGGCTCCAGTATCCTGCGGGAACAAATGGCCGTTGGTCACCGGCTACCATGGGAATGCATCTCCTTACGATGCTCCACTGCCTTGTGGATCAGACCTTCAGGTCAAAGGCTCGGGGTATGGCCCCCTAAGAAAACCACCTGCTTCGGTCTGGGCACCCGGGCAGTATCACAGCCCACACACACAAATATGGTGTGGCGCATATATATTTGGTGCCCTCTTCTACCAATATTTATGTATTGAAATAAATAAATGAATAGATCAATCATGTTCTGTTAGCAACATAAACTATCACAAAATATTACACTATTCTAGAATTTCAATAAGCTTACTTCAACAATCAATGTTAAAATCTCTGCAGCTGTATTCTGTACAAATTGATTAGCACGAAATTCACTTTTAGAATAACCGAAACGATGACCAAATTTAATGGAACATTTATTCATGTTATTCATAGATGAAGTAGTACAATTGTTATCATCATCCTCCTCCTCATCATCATCAATAGTAGTATTGACAGTTGATATTGTTTTCATTGTAATAAAAGGTAAATAACTACACATATATTGTAAACATAAATCAATAATTAATTCCAATAAATTTGTATAATTTTGTTGTGATTGACTTAATTCTTCTGAATTGACAGTAGAAAAAAAATTACAACCAGCCATAGAACGACGATGTCTTGATAAAAGTTCAATAAATTTTAAACCATATAAATTGAAACTAAACATTGAATTAATTGTACATGATGCAAGTGAACGAACAAATAAAGCAGGAGCTATAGTTAGAATTGTTCGAAGACGAGTGAAAGCATAAATCACCTGAAATAGATAGAATAATAGAAGCTAAAGATGGATATGTTAAGAATAAATATTAAAAAAATACTTTATAATCTGATATTTCTTTAGAAAAAAAAACATTCCTTGAGTAGAATAGAACTTCAACGATATCTACACACGAATGGCTCTATCAACACTGTACATTCCAAAAATGTATTTCATTCATTCATGAAATCATCATTTTAAATTACCTTTTACAGAAAGCATGAAAGTGTTACAGTTAACAGGTACCTCTAAATAGGTATCTAATTAATACGAACAATTAAACAAATGAGGTAAAAATATTGACCTTGAGTATGCGGATGATATTGTCTTACTGTGTGATAATAGCCAAGCTATGCAATCTGCAATTAATCAGTTGGAAATCAGTGTCCGTAGGTACGGTATGTGCTTCGCGCCTTCGAAGTGCAAAGTACTTTTGCAAGACTTGCAGGACCCTGATCCTGCACTTACAGCGGTAGTGAGCAGATAGAGGTAGTCGAAAAATTCGTTTTTCTGAGTAGCTGCGTAGGTGCTGGTGGTGGCGTGAGTGATGAGATCAATTCACATACACTGAAAGCCAGAGCGCCTTATGCTAATCTGGACCATCTTTGGCACCTTCATGATTTTAGTCTGGTTGTAAAAGGTCGGATCTACAACGCGTCGGTGAAAGCAGTTCAGCTCTATGCTTGTGAAACCTGGTCTCTCCGAGTTGAGGATGTTAGACGACTCTTTGTGTTTGATCATCGTTGTCTCCAAAGGATTGCTGACATACAGTGGTAATACCATGTTAGTAATGCAGAGGTTCGGTATTGTGTGTTCGGGCACAGAGACGACAATTCAATCGGTGCCCCCAAACACCAAGATCGGAGAGTGTCAGCTCTCCCTCTCGAAATGCTTTAACATAGCCACGTGCATTAAACCACTGCCACAGAAGTCCTACTCACTGCCTTCTCGCGGGATTAATGTTGTCTACGAATTTGAAAGGACGAAAACCGAATGTTCCGCACTGGCTTTAACAGGATTGGTGAATACGGAGAATCCATCTAGGGGGGTGGGGTGGAAAAACCAACTCCAAACCAATGATGCACAAGGGCTCCTGAATGAACAAATGGTGTATGAACCAATCGTTCGTGACCGGCTACCATGGGACTGCATCTCATTACGTTGCTCCACTGCCTTGTGGATCAGACCTTCATGTCGAAGTCTCCGGGTGTGGACCCCTAGAGAAACCATCTGCTTCGGTTTGGCCACCCAGGTAGTATCCCAGCCATCACACAAATCGAATGATTTATGTGGTGTATATCCATTTGGTGCCTCCTTATACCAATGTTTATGTGTATGAATAAATAAATTTTGGAACATCGACTTCGGTAGTTTAGACATGTTCTACGAATGTCGTCCCAGAGAATTCCACGTCGTGCATTATTTGCCGACACTAGAACTGGTTTGAAAATGCGGAGAGGTGATCAATGTACGACATGTTGTCGCGGTATGAAAGAAAGCTGTACATGACTGGCTTCTATCGGTCCTTCACAACTCCCTGCTTGGGGTCCTAGAGATGGTGTGACACAGTGACTGGAGACGTTATCAGGTATGGCTTCGAACAGAAGCCAGTGGTGATCCTGCTGTAACTTTACTTTCTTCGTAAAAAAGGCGTAACTTCTTTAAGTGGAAGAATTCCCTGTGGCTGCACTTTTGCTAATTGACCTGTCTCTCTCATTATTATTATTTAAATATCATACACCAAATTTTGTTCGTTGTTGTACTTCTTTTTTCTTATACACACCTTACATTCTTTATCTCTTCACATTCCAGTTATTATTGTGTGGTGCATGTGTATCTCATGCCCTTTTGAAACAATATGTGTTCAAATAAATAAATAAATTTCCGAAGAGAAGTAACTACAAGGAGAATTAAACGAAAGAAATGAAATATTGATTTGTGTATAATAACGAATTAAAACACAGAACTAAGAGGATGAGAAGGAACTAAGTAATTTTCTGAGAAAAAAAATATCCAGCTACAACATACAGGTCAGATAAATGGTGGGATAAAATTCATACTACTGAGTATAATTGAATAGTATAGCTAGGACAAATAAAAAAAGTCATTGAAAAGACGAGGATACTTCATAAATCAAATGAACTCAATGTATGTGCCTGTTTTAAATTGTTGTAAATTTGGAAAACTTACTTGGTTGGAATCATAATTTTGTAGATAAACTAACAAATGTTCATTGACAGGTAACATTGAAAGTGTTCTAGAATCTGTTAAAGAAAAAGTTTGTAAAAAAGGTTTTCTCAAACGGTTGTCTTCATTTATTGATTTCTTATCATTTACAAAACAAAACAGAAAAAACAATTAAATCTAAATAAATCACTTAAATTATTCTATTTAAGGATTGCTGTAATTTACATGGTGGAGTATGAAAGAAAAGGATTTTGATCAGAAGAAATCCTAAAGATAAATCATGTTGTGTAGTAGTAGTGGTCTAAGTAAAAGGTTAGTTGAAGTTAGACATTAACACCGTTGGATGCCGGCCGGCTCAGTGGTCTAATAGTTAAGCGTTTGCGTGCGAGATCGATAGGTCCTGGGTCTGAATCTCGCGATGCTAGATCGTGGGTGTACGTTAATGAGGAGTCCTACAAAAGGACGAAACGACCGTCCAATGCTTCCAGGTTTTCCATGGTGGTCTAGCTTCAATTGACTCATGATCTCAACTATTAAAATAAGTCAAAGATCATTGAATATTTCAAAATATGTATCTGGTTGAATTTTAGATTATTCAGTATAACTTTTAATAGAAATATTAATAACAAAAGATGATGGAAAGTAAAATCTAATATACATACCATGATGCCAATCTGTTACATAATCTAACAATGAATGATTCTTTTCATCTTTCATTAAACGCATAGATAGAACAGAGTTGAGAACAGCTAAGAAAAAAAACAATTTGAATAAACAAACAAAAAAGTGCAAAATAAATTACTGGGACAGAAGTAACGATGTATGAAAAAATCAACTTCACAGATAATACAGCGAAATATTGACCAACCAGCCAAAACCGAAGTACAATTATGTTCACTATTGGATCGACTGATGTGTGTTTATCCCGATAACAAATTGAAATTCGAAGAGTAGGGTAATGGGATTAAAGAATAGTGAGGTAAATTCAAACAATTTATGATCAGTTTGATAGAAGGAAATTCAATTATAGTTATTTTTTAACTGGTTCGATTAATAGTAAGAGATAGTTATTAGATGATTTATACATCACCGACTAACTTAGGATTTACAACATATTTACCCCTTAGACTAAAACAATCACCCTAATAAACTAACTAAACCTTATCAGTATTTAACAATTATTATCATCCGAGAAATATCAACCAGTCGAATTCAATCCCTGAAGTTTGAATACAATACGATATCTCCAACTATTTTATGAAATATCAAGAATTTACGACTGAGCAAAGAAGAAAAGTCGACAACCATTTATTAAAAACAAGCCATTGACTTATTTCATTTCATATTTCAAGAAACTAAGAAACAATGTATCAATCAGTCAGTCATAGAGTAGGACCTGATACGTATGTACATTGGTTCAAGTTGCCAGACCCTAGTATTAGCACAGAGAGAATAAAATTGTCAGACCGAATCCCAAAACACTAGAGGTAGTAACGGTGTCAGCGGGAAGAAAATATAAATAAGTAAAATAAAATACAAAAGTAAGTTATCAGGAGTTTAGAATCTCAGAATTCGAGGATAAGAGAAAGAACGCATTTACCTGTGTCATTGCAAACGATTTTGAGACATGTCATTTAAAGTCCCTACAAATTGGTTGGGAAAATCACATGGACCACCAACCAGGTAATCTTTACCGATTAACATGACTCAGTCTAAAAGTCAATGAATTCATATACCGGTGTTGTGTTTTGGTTTGACTGTCACTGACTTATTCCAGACTACTCCTACATCAGAAGACGTTACCCGTTGAAGTGAAAGGTAGAGGAGTACATGTCATTGATGTCTGAATCACCACAGTTAGTGAAGATTTACTACCTCTTCAATCGATTTCCCATCGTAACCTAGTACTCAAATACTAACACAATCCACTGCTTAATTTGTGGTCGCAAAATACACAAGCGATACTTCGAAGACACCATTGATCGAATACTACTAACCTACAAATATTCTCTATTATTAATGGCCATGCTTCACAACATTAAATTAGAACTAAACCATCGGGACTGATGAGACTCACACGATAAGCGAACCAGTCAACACGCCCAATTAGTTATCACACTATTGTCAACTCAGACGCTGACGAAAGCCAATCTTGAAGCAACATTTGCGTTTGGAAGGAGTACGCAGAACAACAAACACGCTCGCATTGTTGCTGAGATTGTTACAAAATGCTTTTGTTCTTCTTTATAGCCTGGAATGACCAATGGTCGAGACCAGTCAGATAGGATTACGTCCAGTTCCCAGATTTAAGCTAGAATCTTAGTTAGTCTAACTGCTAAGACTAGACGAAGAACTTTCCTTGCCGTGGCATTTCTACATCCAGTAAGTCGCAGATAAATACGTGCTGGAACTAGGGTATAATCCGAGCACCAACATGTGCTGTAGGATGACCGACAGTCATCCTTTCATAGAAATGGACGTTTATTTAAGCATAGTTGCAGCAGACGGTCATCATTATCTGTCTGCTGAGCTGCAACAACCCAACATCCGTCTAAGTGCCTGTCGGTTTGGTTTAGCCTACCTAATTAATCATTAAAATCACCCGCCACTATTACTACATCGGAACGTTCAGCTTTTTGATGGAGGTTGGATAACTTCCTGTAGAATTCATCTTTAATTTCACCCGAGCTGCAATCAGTTAGAGAACATGCAGAGAAAACGAAAAAACAACGGCGTGTGTCTCTATCTTTTCGAGTTCTTACTAACCTGTTTAGTCGGACGGCGCACAAGTAACTGTTTACTGGAATCCAGTCTGACAAAGCCTGTTCTGATTTTGAACTTAATGCTATACCTACATCAGATATACCACAGGAAGTAGCCATAGGGTCTCCAGATACTTATATTAAAAGCTCCAAAAATGGTTTTAGGAGAAGAGGAATAATAAACAATTTTTACCAGATATCTATCCACTAGTTAGTAGTCAAACAAGAGGACAGATTCTCAAAACAGATTTTACTAGTCAATGCAAATCTACTTTGAAGCAAATGGTATCGTTTACTTTGACTATCGTCACCAAGATAATAATTATCTGACTGAAAGAAATTTTAGTCAAACGAAGTGGCTGAAAAAAACAATATCATGTTTATTCATTTGCCAATTGCTGAAATTGAAAATGTCATGTTTTTTCTTTGTTGAATACTAACCAATCTATCAGTGATCATCAACAAAGTATGCGGCACGAATATTCAGCGACCGAAGTCACAGTCCATCGCATCAGCTCAATAAGATGAAATTAGCAAGGTGTACAATAAACAAATTGTAACAATAGAAATACCTATGACTATGGAAAAGAATAGGCATAGAGAATATAGTTCGCAAACAGGGAATAATTTTCCGGAATACAAAGTATGAAATAATACTACAAATTATAATCTAAATAACCTTGACCCATGTCATCCAACGTTTTCAACCATAGAATACGACTATTACGTCAATCTGAATCACTGGCATGTACCAGATCAGCGGTAAATGACTATGCTTCTTGTTGTTATTTACCGGTCGACTAAACACTCGTAAACATTCCACATCAACACAGATCATGATCACTTTTCAATTCTGTTGAGAAACAACCTTGAATTTCGACTAGACTAAAAGCAAAAGTAACAGATTAAAACTTCACACTATTCTTACAGACAAAAAGGGATCTAATAATAAGTAATTGCTAACCTTCAGCAGCTTGTTGTTTAGAAGTATTTATTTCATTTGTTACTTCTGTTTTATTTAGTAATTCCGTCGTAGAATGAAATCGTTGAAACTTTTCACGAATTGAATTCATTAGATTAAATGGTGTTTCTGTGTGAACAGTGTTAATATGTGGAAACTGAAATAAAGAGAATTTTCATAAAACGATTATAAGATAATGCTTATTGAATAAAGAGTATTTAGTGTATATGAGAATGTTTGTGTTTTCATTGGGGGCTAAGCACAATTTATGTACGACATTCTTATGAAGTACATGGTGACAATGTAGTTTGATACTGACCCAAATGAAAAACATACTTATTCTCTATGAAGTAAATATTTCACTGGAAGTCAAATGTAATAATTTGATTAGCTATAATCAAGTAAAAATGAGTAGATACCGATGGAATAGTACTGTGAAAAGACTGAAATGACTATTCCTTTGGTTATAATAAACGTAGAATAAATTTTTGATTGTTCATATGACTATTCAGAATCTGCCATAATTAGAGTTAAATTACAAACAGTTCGACCACAAATATGTTTAAATTTGATAGAGAGTAACAGCTTCTCCAACCTTTAAGATAAACCTTGTAGATAAATAGTAACTAACATGATACTCAGGTCTAGGATTTACAATCGTTCACTTCCAACTATCTGGTATCCAAGTAATGCAGGAAGATATAAGAATATATATACTGATTTAAATGTATCTTATACTCAAATATACACGAAAAATGAACAAGTGTAAATAGTAAAGATGTAACATCATTTATTTTGAATGAAACACTTTTTTTCAGTTAATAATAAACAGATTTACTTATTCATGATACAGATTTAAATACACAATACATAGAAACTGTTGTGACTTTATGTCCGGCTTTTTTATACGTGATTTATCCACCAATTAAAACACGACTTATACAATCGTATCACTGTGCCAAACCAATGACGTTCGATCGGTATGGGCAGCTTAGTGTCCTTATCGGTCCTATGTCCGTTTAGCCCGTCCACTTGAGTCCAGAACCCCAATATCAGTTGCCACTATGAGAATCCAATAATTTATTCCAGACATACTGGGTTTATATAGCAACCAAACAGACCGCAACGCACCATAAAATAGAAAATAACATGTGTACACAATAAAGTCAAAAAGTGGCTGTGAACGTGGGAGGCAGTAGTTAATAAACTGAACACAGCTTAACAACCGTAAATCGTACAATAATAAATTATAGATCAAAGTACAGTTTATAATAAGAAGAATATAAATATACATAATCTAATCATTGAATAGTTATACTATAAGAATATATAGATAATATTAGGCAAATAATATGTCTCAGCAGAAGTTACTCGTGATTTAATCTTCGCTCGGATATAACAGAAACCGTGTCCATTGAAGAATAAAATCTTAGCCAATCACAATTAAAGAACAAATACCATCAAGAATTTAGTCAGTAATACGATCAAAGAAAACATCTATAAACTATTTTTCTTTCATATCTAAGATTATCAAGACAAAGAGTGTATACACCTACACCATTGTGATCGATTCTGAGCCATGTCACACAGAATCTACGACCACTGTTTACGATGGTCACGCGGACCCCGACCGAGTAGTCTGCATCTACCAGCATGGTTCAGACTAGAAGTTAGTGACTTCAAGGACTGATGCCAAGTTTTTGTTTGGCCGCCCCTAACTTTCTTCTACCATGCAAAGAAAGTCGACTGAATAAACAAAATCAAATACATTTAGTGTAAATAATGAACAATAATATTAAGATCCGCAATAACATAGTGCTGACTGGACAAAAATATGATAGTATCATCAATCAAACACCATTAAATCTAGATTAGCCTATTTTTGCTAGAAAGACTTGAAAAGCCATATCCCACCGTACACATGACTTTTTTCTGTTAGGAAACGAAATAAAAAGTTTTAACCTCTAAAACAATCAAATCAGGACAGTTTTAAAGTAAACACTACATGAGCTTTGCTACTGACTACAGTCAGAAATTGACCGCCAATTAAAATGTAATTCCTGTAATACCACTATCAATCATTTTATTCAACATATGATTATTAATATATAACGTTGTAATAGTAATATTTTGAGATGGTGGAGATTTGTAGCTCAGGTGGATGATTCGGTCGTAGAGCTTTCTTCGTTCTTCCGAATGAGATCATCAGCACAAACTTCAGGTAGAAGTGACAAGTCCGATTGACAAACCATTACTTAATCATAGTTAAGTGATATCCTCTATTCATCCCACTACTTATCAACCAAATAATGACCCGAAAAACTGTTAGAGTAATTAATAATCGACATCTAAACATGTTACAAGCGAAAACTATTTCATGTCAAAAGTCACATGTTCCATAGAACGGAGATTCGTCTCATTAACTTTGATAAAAACATCTAGTACTTACTTCAGAATTAATACTAGTTGTATTCATTTTATTAACAACTTCTTCATATGAAGGCGGTTTACAGTCAATGTCTAAATGGAAAGAAAATATTTTAAAACATAACTGATAATAGAACAAATGCAGAAAGAGCTACATGTCTTTTTTAATATCTATGTTAGCAGAACGAGATTATCTCTTTAGAGTCTGCATGGTAGCCACGATCAGCAGTTGGAGATTCGGGTAATATGGAGCAGAGTTGTTCATGATGGGTCAGACGTATTTACTTTTTGTTTTCCCCTTAATCCTGAATTCCAGTATTCCTTCATAGAAGCCTTTCCACTTACACATGCCAAGGAACCACCCTATCTCGATGAGTGATGTTGTGTAGCATAAAGACAAGTTAGAAGGCATGAAGTGATTGATTATAAGTATGAACTGTGTTAGTAAGTCCAACTATATAGTTGGGGTCCGCACAATAATTGCAACCTGTGATTCAAGACATCACGTGACATACCTCAAAATCGTCAATAGTTGAGCAGAGGTAATCAATTTTTGTTCTCCTTTACAAATTCAGTTACAAACTACTTCATACCTTCTGTTTTATGAATTATCTCTTCCACCCAATTCACATCCTCTAAGTTTAATCTTTTTTACTATCTTTGATACTACATTAGAAATTGGTTAGTTTATATTATATTTAAGAAATAGCAGTTTTCAGATTCCATACATTCACTTATATTTTGAACATTGAGAATAGTATCATCAAACGTAGTATAACAAGTGTACCTATTAGCTTAATAAACAAATCTCTACACATTTATAATATTAAAATGAGTGTTTTTTATGGTGTGAGCTACTTATATTCAGTATAACGATAGTCAGTAATAGAATGTATTTCAATAGAAGATTGAGAAGGAAAGGATGGGAACAGAAAACAATTGGTCTAAAAATGCACAAACAATGAAATCTGAGATGATGGACAGATACTCGTAAAAGGAACAGTCAAGTTTGAAACAATTGATGAACTGTTTACAAATGAAGTAATTACTAAGTTGTGCTGTAATTTTATGCTCACATACATTCGGTTGGCCTCACTCATGTTCTTATCAATATGATTATACAATAACTCTAAAGGTTATTATATACGTATTATAAATGAAGATAGATCGATGTTGTATTTTCTTACCTGTTGTATCAACTGATTTTAAAGAACTATTCAATAATTTCTTAGATTTTGACATTTTAATCTGTTGACAATAATGTCTTAATACATGGGATTTTAAACTAATTCTAGCTGTTCCAGGATGTAATAATATAGCTAAAATTGGTATAATCAAACGATCTATTTGACCAGTTCTTAAAGCTTTCTCTATCCATAGAATAGATTGTTCTCTTAGTATAGAATTTCCATAATTAATTGAATGATCAATTTGATGAAATACTTCATTGTTATTAACATTTTGATCATTTTTATTTATTTGCCTTTTATTGACATTTAGATTCAATTGTGATAGACTTGTTAAACCAATTGACCTCATTGGACCCAATGGATTATCATAATCTAAATTATCCAATAGGAGTAATGTACATCTATTGATTATTTGATGAGGATGATGATGATCATGATGAAGACGAACAAATGAAGAGAATATGAAAGTAAGAAAGCAGAGAAAACAAAACAAAAACAAACAAGTTACACAACTCTAAATAACAATTAACTATTAAATTTTAATAATCATCAGTAGAAGGTTATACACAACTAAATAAACAAATGGTTCATCTATGAAAACATGTTCTTACAGTAACATACATACATTTTGTTTAGTTTATAATCTCTGACAAGCTATATATATATATATATATATATATATATATATATATATATATATATATATATATATATATATATATATATATATATATATATGATTTATTTCGTTAAATGTTTAATATTACTTAATTGTCAACTACAGATTATCTGATAAGAGGTTTTGAATCACATGCTTTTGTGTATAATAACTAGTAATATGGATCAACTACCGATAGTGAAATGAAGATAATTGAAGTGAATTTATGAGAATTGGAACCTGAAACTAACTGACTCGAGTTCAAGCATACTAACCACTAATCTGTAACAACATAATAAATGTAGTAGCTGATAAGGTGTGGATGATTGATTCACTCTTGAGTGATGTTAGAGGTATGAGGGCGGTTATCACTTCCAGGTTGTCCACACCGTGGAAGGGTTCTTCTAGAGATACCTGAAAAGGAAATTGGATTAGAGGTGGTATTAGTGACATGAGAGCGTGACCGCAGTGCCCAAGGAACAACTGTTTGAGGTCAGTCACACACGACCGTCTTGTGAGAAATTTTCGTGTTAGCTCCTTACTTGTTGAGACCTTACCGCCGGAGACAGATATCCGTGCCATAAGTTAGGGGTGTGCATTTTTAGGGTCGACCTTTCTTAACCCTACCCTTCCTCGTGGGGAGGTAGCATCGCTGTCATGCTGGTTGTCTGAAGGAAACACCTTACTGCTGTCACACTTCTGTACAGTCAGCAGTACGACTTCGCCTTCGGACCTTGGGTTTGCTGCATCTAGTCCTACCTTTCTTCACCCGACCTGTCTGGTATGGTAGGACCTTGAAGAACGATTGTTCCAGCCAATATAGCTCGACTGGTTCATCACCGCCCGACCAACACGTTAAGACAGCAACAACGGTCAGGCGATGATTGATTAACTGACAGTAGCATCAAAAAGTGACAACCTTGATTAAATTTGTGCGGGAAATCTTGAAATTTAGTAAACGTTTTCGAATCGCAAGCAAAAGTGAAATAAATTTTTACGAAATATTTCATATAGCCTTAAACATCTAACTGAAGATCATGGAAGGTTCATGATAAATTATAATGAATGGAACATCTACGAGATCGCGTCAAAAAACTTTCGGAATGTGTGGCTAAATATAATTTAGACAACATTTCTGATGTGAGATATTTCGTTCATGCTACTGGATAAATAGTTATTAGCATAGTTTTGATGATATACAATACATAAAATGATAGATCAACAAAAAACCAAAATAAATCAAAATCAGTATAACAAAGTACAATTTTATAGGTCAGAAATGGAATATAATTCCGCCTGAAGCCCCTCTGGGGTTCCTGCCGGTCCCAATCCCAGATAAAGGAGGGTTGAGCATGAAGTTGGAGACCCCATTCCGCAGAAAATTAAATCGCTAAAAAACGCTAACCAGAAAAAATAATTCAAATCACTTAGATTCTACCCTGGGAGTAAGGTCTTCATTTAGAAGAGTTATGACGCCTCACGGTGAAAGCCGAGTTCAGAAGTCACGAGGCTGATGCCCCTTCTGACAACCAGAGCAACTATTAACTTAGGCACATGGAATGCTCGGCTGCTTATGTCCCATCGGGAGTAAGATGAAATATGTCTGTTGAAATCAAAGTCGAACAGGGTTAACAATCCAAAACTGCTAACACAACTTCATACATACAAAAAATTGACTTATATGAAAAAAAGTAATAGCTAGCCAAATGGAATAGCTTGAAAAAACAAGAATTTTTTGAGTACTTCAGTTCAATTTCGATCACTGATGTATCTCGATAGACACAACAAATAATCTAGTGACGGAATTTGTCGATAATCAGATACATAGTTATGTGAAAATCTAATATAAAATATTAGGCTAGTATAAATGGGCATAATAACTAAAACTACACAAGTCATATCAGATGATCGAGCCAGTCCCATCGACTGAGAGGAAACTTGTATACTCAAAATGCAATACCATTGATAAAATCGATAAAGCTATGGGGATCAAGATGAAAACCAATAAAAACTAAGCTTACCTATAGAAAGGAATATCGTACAAACCTAAACCAGGAGATGATAAATCACTGTTGCCAACTTTATTGTCTCCAGTCAAACCAAGAAATGCACGTCTCCATGATACAGCCGCTATGAAATTGGATACACCACTTAGTCTAAAAGAATCATGAACTGAAGAATGTAATGATCGTTTAGTAACCGGAAACTGATGAACTGAATTACTAGTTGAAGTGTTTGTCAATGGATGAATATTTGATTGAACACGTGATCCATAGTATCTCAATAAATGCCACAGTAAAATAAAACGTGAATGTGCATCTATTTTAATATCTAAATCAGATGAAAGCATTTGAGAAAGAATGAAGCCTTCAATACAAGAACTGATAGTAGATGTGATTCCTGATATTCTGGGAGTTAATTGACAAGCAAGAGATTTTGGCAATGGAGGAGCTAATTGATGTAGACGAACAAGTAAACTTGTTGCATCATCATGATAAGTAGAATATTCTGGTGATAGATAACGCCATAATGATACACCCAAGTACTAAATTGAGATAAATGAATGAATGAATTATTTCATACATACGTAAATTACAGTAGTTTGATTAGATCTATATAACTTCCATAATTAACAATTCAATTTTTACCATTTACGAAATCTTACAAATATACATAAACATATGATTAAGTAAATTCTTTAAACTAGTGTAAACTGTTAAGTCTAAGTGACTAAGGAAACAATACTATTGGGTTGCAAGTAAATTTATTCAGTGTATTGTATGTTCTGGATCCTATTACTATTCAACAACAACTTGAAATAGAACTAATCACAAAATGATCTTTTAGAGAATCACTAGAAACGTTGAGGATTGTTTTTTAGTAAGCTATAATTCTAGTTGTAAAGAACTTTAAAGTTGGCCATATCAAAACAGTTGGTGAACATTCTACAACAGAGTTACTGATGCTCATTGTGTAAGTTTTTTTTATCAAAAAAGTAACTCATATTGAATAAATTAATTACAAAAACTAATTTAGAATAACATCAATTCATTTCGTAGTTTCTCATCAGGTGTCAGTCAGTCAGTGAAATATAATGTAGGACCAGGTACATATATGCATCGGTCCAAGTTGCCATACCTCATTACTACAATAAGATGAACACCAAGTTCATAGAAGTAGTCACTTCAATGGTAGTAATATATAAAAAAAAGATTATGTATAAGGATATAGTACAGGAACAAATCAGTTCGTAGAAAGAAAGATATGAAGCGATTTTAATCTCTCAGTTTAAAGGAAGACAGGTAGTGTATACACCTAGGCCATTTTGATCGATTCTGAGCTCTGTCACCAAGAGTCTCCAACCATTGGTCACGATAGTCACGCGAACACCAACCAAGTAGTCTGCATCTACCAACAGGACTAGGACTAGAACTTAGTGATTTCAAGGACTGATGCCACGTTTTAGTTTGCCCACTCCTAACATTCTTCCAACCATCTCCAACACTAGTCAGAATTGCGCGTCGTGATAATCGGTGTTCAGGCATACGTAACACGTGACCCAACCATCTTAGTCGATCGATATTCACAACTTCATCAGCTGATCTAACATCATTCCCTAATACCTTGCGTCTAACCTCACTATTACTTGCCCAGTGATTCCAGCAGATGCTGGCAACATTTCCAAGACTTCTGTGATCAAATACTAGTAACTTACGAGTATCTTCTACTCTTAATGGCCACGTTTCGCAGTCGTAAAGTAGAACGTCTCATCAGGTGTATATAAACACACTCAAATTAGAACATAACATAAGATTAAATAATAGATATTGGTGACTGAAAGAATGGAAATGACAACGATTATCAATAATGTATACATATAAGAGAATAAGACTAGGTAAGATAGACAAAATAAACATAAATGGAATGATATAGTAATTGTATAAAATTAGAAAATTAATAAGATGAACTGAACAATAGTTACAGAAGTTTTGGAGAGTTCAAATAAGTATTGAGAATCAGGTGTGAAAATCGCAGATAATTTCAACATACACAGACTTATTTACACGTGTATACACAGTAACCGTTATTTGCTGATCTACCTTTTCATATCAGCTCATTTGAAGCATAGGTTACATCAATATTTAGATTTTTTTGTGAATAATGTTCAATCGACCGATACCTAATCACTGATTGTTGATCAGTTTAGTGTTAAATTATATGCTTAGTGACTGAGAACTTTAGTACACTCACTCACTCACTCACTCACTCACTCACTCACTCACTCACTCACTCACTCACTCACTCACTCACTCACTCACTCACTCACTCACTCACTCACTCACTCACTCACTCACTCACTCACTCACTCACTCACTCACTCACTCACTCACTCACTCACTCACTCACTCACTCACTCACTCACTCACTCACTCACTCACTCACTCACTCACTCACTCACTCACTCACTCACTCACTCACTCACTCACTCACTCACTCACTCACTCACTCACTCACTCACTCACTCACTCACTCACTCACTCACTCACTCACTCACTCACTCACTCACTCACTCACTCACTCACTCACTCACTCACTCACTCACTCACTCACTCACTCACTCACTCACTCACTCACTCACTCACTCACTCACTCACTCACTCACTCACTCACTCACTCACTCACACTTTTAATTGCATTCATTTTCGTATTGTCTTAATTTTCCAACGGTCAGAATTCCAGAAACTTTGTAAAATACCATATGACTTAAAGAGGGATTTTCGTGCACATAGTTCCCGTTATTATTTTGAAAAGATCAAGAACAAAGATTCTAACAGAATAGCATGAATTCATTTTATTTCGTTTGGTTCTTGTCAGCTGCTTACAACTTGTGATATTTAAAATCATAATTATATAATGGGTTTAAATTACTGACATGAGAGGGGTTGGTTGAAAGTTATATTGAAGATATAGTAGTATAGTATAGCAAGGGTGTAAATAAATCTAATAGACTGAATACTATAAATATATGCATTATGTAAAAGAACATTCTATAACATTGATTGTGACAACAGTTCAAACGGCCAGAAACAAATGATTACATAATGAGTAAACATTGGTAGAAATAAAGTACGTAGAGCACAGTTGATAAAATAAAATAATTAATTTTGAAGATAGCTGAAGTAAAACTCAATGATGCAATAAATAGAAGAAACGGTTTAAAGAAAAAGTGAAAAAAATATTAAGATACAGCGAAGGAATATTTGTCACCAAGGCAAGGAAAGATTAATAACTATCTCTTTTTGAACATATAAGTCAGGTTTTTGATGCCTGATAGCAACGGCTTCAGCAAACTTCAGAACACTGGAGTTTGGCTGCTTATCATTCATCTTGAAGAATTGCAAGGTATCGAATTGATGTCCTGTATCAAGGAGATGTTTCGTGATTGCATTGTTTAGTCTTTCTTTTTCTTGTTTTGAGGCATTTTTTAGAACATGTTCACAAAAATTTAAAATATGCCCTTCTTTCTGTTAGACCGATGTAGATGATTTGGCAGGTACACGTAAATTTATAAATATGGTTAGCGGTAACAATGAAAGGGGTGCTATTTAAACTCTTTCTACATACTCTTATTGTATTATTTACTTAAAATTACAAATAATTTTTAAGTATATCACTTATTCTTGATAATGTAACATGAAGGAAATTATCAAAGTTTAAATTATATACCGTCTACTTAGTGTCTATGTATTAGGATAGAATAAAGTTGTTGTGCTTTTTTTTCTGACTGCTTTTTCACAAGTGTTTCCGATATAAATGTGAATAAATCAACTATGTCATGAGTATGAAAATCGATAACTGAACATGCTGGTTCATTCTTAGAGATATATATTTCAAACATTTTATTTTAGTATCAGAAGGGGTTTTGTGGAGATTTTAGTAATTTCAATAGTTGAAATAATGAGTCAATTGAAGCTACATCACCATGGAAAACCTGGAAGCATTGGACAGCCGTTTCGTTCGATTGTGGAACTTCTCAGCAGTGCGCATCTACGATCCCGCCTCGCGGGATTCCCACCCAGGACCTATCAGTCTCACGCGTGAGCGCTTAACCACTAGACCACTGAGCCAGCCGGCATCCAACGGTGTTAATGTCTAACTTCAATTAATCCACGAAAGTGAGCGACAGATTCACCATTGTCATCAGTGAGTTACAATCTCACAACAAACCCGGTTGAACGATTGAAATATTTAATTTTCACCCAAAAATGGAGGTAATTACTGAAATTTTAATAAGAAGACATGAATAATGGAGTTCAAACATCGAGTGTGTAATAAATATCACCAGTAGTATTGGATACCAGTTCTACAATAAGCCAAATCGAATGATTTAAAGATTAAAGCCTCACTCTGAGGATTTAAGGTTCCGATTTCAACTATCGATGAGATAATCATCAATAAATACTGATGAAATTTTTTACACTAACACAAAACAGATGTTCACTGCTTACTGCTTTTTACAGTTTATCTCACAAAGACTAATCTGCGATGTAAAATGAAAAAGAGAATTCAGTTAATCAACCATATACTTATCATTATAATAAATTTTAAGCTATAAGCTTATGATTTACAACTAATAATGTTACTTCAATATCATGAAAAAGTTGAACAGGACAGAATTTGAACTCAAGACATCAAATGATCAGTAAAATTTATTAACATATAGTTTGCTTACATACCGTGAATAAATTTGTCTTTTGAGAAAGATATGACATCAATTCTCCACTTAACACAGGAAATACTAAACGCATTCCACGATTTGCTTCATGTTTATCATCTATGGGAAGTACTTTATCACCATTCTCATTATTGTTTCCTAGATGGATCTGTCCAGCACTATTATTATTATTATTATTATTATTATTATTAGTAGTAGTAGTAGTAGTAGTAGTAGTATTGATGTCATTAGAATAATACTTCAATTCTGTACTCCAACCGTGAATAGAAACAGCTGCATGAAATAATTCAATCAGTGTATACAAAGCAATTGACTTAATATTGAAATTATCTAGATCACATGATGCATACAATAAACAAACAAGCCATTGTGGTAGAATGAAACGACCTGGTAAAAGAAAGAAAGAAATAACAACAATAATATACAATTGATATTTTAAATAAAAGTGAAACAAAAACGTAGCAACAAAAGAAATGATTGTGATCAAAGATAAGAGAGAATACGGATTGAATTCAGGTTCAATAATCAGCAATCGATAACAATAAAAGTGACGTAGGCAATTACTATAACATATATATGATGCATTCATAGCTACATATATGCACAGCATGTACATGATTACATTTCTAAGAAAGATGAAAAGGAGGAAAATATGGAGTGCAAAGATAAGATGAATAAATGTTCACATATTTGAATCGATAATGATTAACTAACCTGTAGATATTAAGCTAATTAAACCTAAATCCTAATCAATATGTTACATAGAACTTTTATCAGTCAATTGTAATTGGATGTATATGTTAGCCGAGACAACCGACAATAAACAATGTAGGACATTAGTTTCATCCTAGTTAGTATTTACCTACAAAAGATGTTTAAACATTCTGAAGGAGCTACTGATACTCGATGCAGAATTTGAATCCGCGTCATCAACTCTCAGTCATACAAATTAACACAAAGATATTTCGGTCATGAATATCCAACCTCTATAGAATTGACACTAAACAAACATGGCATTAGTCACTAATGTTCAATGATTAATCGATGTAAAATTAAGATTTGTTAAAATCACACTACGAAATCGTATACTCCAAATGATATCTAATAAATACTGAGGATACGAAAATAAACCAGATATGGTGATATGACTGAAAATATGATCATCAAACAAACACAGGAGATGATGATGATGATGGTGGTAGTGCAAGAAAACATCTCAAAAACATACATCACTGAACTTGATATACAGAATCAGTTAGATACAAAGTGAAAATCAGCGAAAGCATGAATGAGTGAACAAAAAAGATATTTGGTGAGACTATAATTTATGGACGACCTTTGAGCATGTCCAACTACCAACTAGGACTAAATGAAGGTTATAAAAAAAGTGTGGGGAATTAGAATTATGATTTGCAGTTGATGGTTAGGGTTAGGAATTAGATATAGGGTTTCCATTTCGAACTAACATCAGATATAATGCTGAAATAATATTTAGCCAAATGTGTGGATGAATTGCGCGCTAAAATCCGAGACTTGTGATCTAAAAACTGATTGGTTCGTCCATAAATTATAGTCTCGTCAGATATTTCACTAAAAAAACACTGTGTTAGCTGACAAAGGGAGGAAAAAAGTATCATCAAACTGATGCTATTATTCAAAAATACTTAGTGCTAAATTTATTGAAAAAACGATAGGTATAATGGGTTAATCAAGTACAATAATATACACACGCGGATCCAATCTAGCACGCACACTAAAAAAGAGTAATGCGGTTTCAAGATCAAATCAATTACCCAAACTGTAGTGAAAATAACAATGATAATTGTTTAGTACAGGCTGCTGCGAACCAATGGTAAAGTTCTTTTTTAAAGAGCCTATATAAATGAGGTATACATAAAACAATAATAAATGTACTAACTTGTTTTAAATGAAAACATTTTTAGTTATCAAAGTGAAATACAGAACAATACATTACAAAATGTTAAAGAAAAAAGACCGGTGAATCAAACGATACTCACTAAATTTGTGTAATAAAAAATCAATGCACTGAAGAAAAGTAGCATTCCTTCTCTATGAGATACTGTTCCAAGTCACTGAGTTCACCTAGGGGAATTAGAAAACCCTGATTCCAAACCAATGGTGCACATAGGTTCCAGTATCCTGAAGCAACAAATGACATGAGTCAATCGTTGGTCACTGGCTACCACCGGACTACATCTCCTGACGTTGTTCCACTTCCTTGTTGACTAGACCTTTAGGTCAAGGGCTCCGGGTGTGGCTCCCTAAGGAAACACCTGATTCGGTTTGGGCACCAAGGCAGTAACCCAGCCCTCACACAAATCAAACTCTTTATGTGGTGCATATGTATTTGGTGCCTCCTTGTACCAATGTTTATGCATTTTAAAAAATGAATAAATCACAGCGCTATAACATTCTACAGGCAGTAAGTATTCCATAGTATAGAAATCTATGCAACAAAAAGCCTAAAACACGATTAGCCTACCTAAGTCTGTTTCAAGATGACGAGAGCTTAAGAAATACTGAACTATGCCCAAAATCAAGATAACTTATATAATATTGCTGTTGAATACCAACAATGATAATGAGGTAAGACAATGGAACATACAGAGTCGAAAGAAATAATCATTACGGAAAAGTCAGATGGCTTACATGACATTATACACATAAGCAGTATGACTTCCATTTATGGAGAAATACAGTTCAAAACTACGTTGAAATTAATGACCACCTTCTGTTGAGTTTTTTTTTTAAAAAAAAGTTACCCAAATTATTTCAGTTTATAAAAATGTAAAGTTGAATGGTAAAAATTGCTAGAAACGTGCTTAATAAGGAAAGAATAAAAAATACGAACTAAATATTACAAAATATCACATACTACTTTACAGTACTCGAATAAAAAATCAACGAAAAGCGTAAAATACAACAGAACTGTACAGATACAATCGATCAGTCAGTCAGTCAACAACACAGAACTTCGTACATACGTACGTACATCAGTTCAAGTTGCCATGCCACATTAGCATAGAGATACAGATAAAAGATAAATATGGATGAATTAATATGATATTTAATATTAGATGTAAAATAAAAACTGAATTTAACTGTAGTATTGTCATATCACTATAATCAGCATAACCTTGTAGAAAACATTAACTACAAAAACTATACAATAATATACCTGTAATAAGATTATTTATACTCTGAATACACGATTTACATTACGACAGGAAATGTTAGAAAAAACTGACATTTTTCTATCTATTAATACATTAACATTAACATTATTCTGTCAGTTTATTTATTTAAATACACAGACGTTGGTACAAGGAGGCACCAAATAGATATGCGCCACATAAATCATTCGATTTATGCGAGGGCTGAGATACTGCCCATGATAACCGGTGACCAACGATTGGTTCATACACCATTTGTTCCTTTAGGATACTGCAGCCTATGTACACCATTGGTTTGGAATCGGGGTTTTCCAACTCCTCAAGGTGGACTCTGCGTGTTCACCAACCCGGTTAAAGCCGATGCCGGACATTCGCTTTTCGTTCTCTCGACTTCGTAAATAACGACCTCGCCACGAGAAGTCAGTGAGTAGAACTTCCCAGACAGTGGTTGTATGCATGTGGCTATGTGAGAGCATTTAGAGAGGGAGAGCTGACTCTTTCTCACTCTCGACTGTACCAGGGCATTTGGGGCTATTGTGTCAGTAAAAAGAACTCATGAAAAGTTTCTATTTATTTTGGTATTATAAAGCCAAATCTTGATTATGATACATGAAGAACACAGTAAATAAAACTTAAATGAACAAACAATATAACTCACAAGTTAATTTACAATGAAAAGTCTTCCACTTTCATCTATTTTGACTATTATGAAAGAAATTATTCGTACATTTAAAATATCATAACATATACTTAACTAGAGTCAAGTTTCTATAAATCCGGCGTTCGTCTTGCTGTGTTAATGAGGTATGACAACTTGGACTGATGCATATATGGACCTGGTCCTACGATGTAACTGACTGAGAATCAAACCAGACATACATCACAACAACAAATGCAGCTTAAAACTGAGTACATAAATGATAAAAGGATTACATTCTAATGTCTGGAAACAATTCTCCTAGTATATAGTTCATTTAATATGTTTATTATACTAGCAGAAAAGAAACCATTTTTCAAGTTAATTACCAATCAATAATAACTAGTCTTTTAATCTTAAACACATAAATATTGGTACTAGGAGGCACCAAATAGATATTCACCACATAAATTATTCGATTTGTGTGAAGATTGGGATACTGCCCGGGTGTCCATACCTTAGGGAGGTCTCACAGTCTTTTAACATTAAACACAAGTATAGATTACGTGACGGTAAAAAGTGTAATTTATTTTATAATATAGAGAAAATTGTTTATTACAATCTAACTGAATGTGACACAATTCTAGTTAATATATTACTAAAATATGGATAGCATACAATAGAATTAATGTACAGAAACTTATTGCGATCTCGTTCAGAATTTTGAAAAGTACAAAAATGGAAAGCATCATTAATACCTCGAATTTTGAGTCAATTCGAACAATTGTACAACGTACATCGACTGAGATGGTTGGGCCACGTGGTACGTATGCCTGAACACCGATTACCACGACAAGCAATACTGACTAGTGTTGGAGTTGATAAGAAGAAAGTTAGGGGCGGACAAACTAGCCAAAACGTGGTATCAGTTCACAAAGTCACTAATTTCAGGTCAGAGCCATGTTGGTAGATGCAGACTACTTGGTTGGGGTCCTCGTGACCTTCGTAACCGATGGTTGGAGACTTAGTGACATGGCTCAGAATCGATCACAGTGGTGTCGGTGCATACACTCCCTGTCTTCCCTTAAACTAAGAGATTAAAATCACTTCATACCTTTCTTTCTACTAACTAAGTCTTTCCTCCTGTACTGTATCGTTATATGCAATCTTTCCCCTATGTATTACCACCTTTGACCTAGCCACTCCTATAAATCCGGTGTTCATCTTGCTGTGCTAATGAGGTATGGCAACCTGGACCGATGCATATATGTGCCTGGTCCTACGTTGTAGCTGACTGACTGACTGATTGTACAACGTCAAAGATCATATTATCAAGAGATATAGCAAGAGAAAAAGTAATTCGAAGCAAAAATCTCCGGTACCATCCAGTAAGGGGGGTGGGTGGATAAAGTTGAAAATAAAAATAAATGATCATTTATTAAACACTTACAAAGATGTCATTGACTAAACAAGAGTAAATAAAAACTGTTAAAACTTCAATTTCTACGAATATTCAGAATTGGACAACTGAAAATTATCTTTAACAAATTTGAGTAATTAGTACACATGTGAACCAAAGTCAACATTTACATTTGTTCATGTAACATAGATCTTAAAATAAAGGTTGTAATGTAAGACAAAACGAATACATTACTTAGTGACTTTTATAAAGACAATGCTTTGGAGAGAAATGAATAATAGATCAGAATGATTGTTTATTTAGCACGATTAGAATATATTGTAATAATTAATAATAATAATAATAGTAATGGTAGTAATAGTAGTAATAGTACTAATAATAAGTGACAGACTACAAAAATCAAAACGCTTTTAACGAAATTGATAAAGGACACATGATAGAAAGAAAAAATTATGAACGCCTTCTAAATAAACAAACAACTATACAATATTTCTATTTAGAATTATATCAGAAAGGGGTTTCTTGTGGATATTATAGTAATTTGAATAGTTGGGATAATGAGTCAATTGAAGCTAGACCATCATGGGAAACCTGAAAGCACTGGACTGCCGTTTCGTTCTATTGTGGGACTCCTCAGCAGTGCATATCCACGATCCCATTTCGCGAGATTCGAACCCAGAACCTAACAATCCTGCACGCGAGCGCTTAACCTCTAGATCAATGAGCCGGCATCCAATGGTGTTAATATCTAACTTCAACTAATCCACGAAATTGAGCGAAACAAGTTTACCATGGAGCAACGTTATGATTATCATTGAAGTTAATAAGTAAGAAGAAGAAGACATGCACAGTACTAATCCGAATGACAATTACAAAGAGAGGATATGATTTCCTTTTCATTCAATTTAAAATCATGTTTTCGACTGGTAAATCATTGAAAAACATTTCATTTCTCACTGTTTTATTCTTCATAAATGTTGTTAATTACACAAATATCCATCTCCCAACTAAAGGACAGGTTTATTACACTACACAGAAGTTAACTTCGCTCTGCTTTATTGGTGTGAAGCATGGTCATTTAAAATAGATGATATTCGTAGGTTAATACTATTCGACAAAATGGTGTCTTCGAAGCATCGCTTGTGTATTTTGGGACCACAGAGTAAGCGACGGCCTTGGTTAGCAATCGTGCAAAAGGTAAGGATAGCAAATCGACTGAGGTGGTTGAAATATATGTTGCGTATGTTTGCCAACCGCCTACGTCGACGGACAATGTTCTTTGGTGTAGGCGTATTAGGTTTGAAGAAAGCTAATATCAGCCGAACCAAAACACGGCACTAGTCCATGAAGTTATTGATAACTGAACTAAGCCATACTAACACGGGTCCATGAGAATGTCGTAACGAATACTTAGAAACTTTGAACGACATAATTCGAAATCGTTAGCAATGGCACAGGTCCATCGACTCTATCTTCCCCTAGACTCTAAGTTCCTAATTTCCTCACAATCCCTTCACTTTACTTATTTATATTTCCGTGAATTGTATCTTTGATGTCTAATCATTCTTATTACCACTTATACTACCTCTACTATTCTAGGATTTAGCCTGACAATTTCATCTCTATGTAGTGATGGGTTATGGAAACTTCAACGCATTTTCACATGTACCAGGTTCTACGTTGCGTCTGATTGATTGATAGGCGGATACTACGCTAAACAGGAATTTTCCAAATGATGTGTTCACAAGCTTAGCCAAACAAACGGATTTCATTTCTAAGAAATGAAGTAGACCAAGTTACTTATATAATTTCTTAATAAAACAACGAATAATATTTACTTTCTGTGTAGTACCTTAAGTAACTCTAAATAAACAAAAGTTGAGAAATCATCGTAAAATCCATAAGTGACATGTGCATACATAGTCACTTTTCTTATCTCCAATAATTCAACTATTAGAACTAAGTAGAAATGTGTTAATTCATACTGTCAAAACAATACAACTAGGTAAAGAATAAAGTTACAGCCACGACAGTAAAATACATACGTCAGTGTTCAAAGTTACTCGTGCAGGTTTAAACATTTTATTGGTCAAGTTAAGTAACCCGTCGAGAGACCGACTGGCTCAATCGGACTAGAGAGGAATAAATCAAGCTTTCGACTAAGTGCAGGTAGCGAGCGTCGTAACACGTTCAGTAATGTAAAATCTACTCTAAGCTATTCGAAGCAGTTACCTTGTACTATCAAAACGGTCCTCATCAGCAGGCCTACAATACTATGTAAAACCCCAAAGACAATAACTCAATAGATTTTTTCGACCTCTTTGCCAAATCAAACCATACATGTTTTTATCTTGGCCTAATGAAAACTACAGGATTGAAATAAACAGGAATTAAGTTTGAGGTGAACAAAACTTAGTTTTTATACATTTAAAATTAAGCCGACTAGATACTTTCATTATGTACCGACGAACAAGCAGAGCCAATCTATATAAATATTAGCGATGTACAAAATGAACTAGTTATCAAACAAATATGGTTTTGTAAATTAAACAAGAATATAAGTAAATATGGAGGGTTGGAAGGTATCGAATAAATATGCTATCCAAGATTTAGATGAAATCAAAGGGCAAATACAACTGTATCACTTTAACCGATCCATAATAAAATGCTTTAAACCTATTCAAGAAATTTCGTGGATTTTACGAATGAAATTTACAATTCTAGAAACAACTCATACCGATAGACAATACATTTGGGATGAATGTAACATAACCAGTTTCAAATTGAGTAGTAAAATTTAAGAAATAATCAATTATACACTGGAGTATGATAACGACTGTAACAGATATCAAGCACTGTTGCCGTGATGAAAAGAAAATTTACTAATATCATGAGATTCTTAATAAGCTTTAGAAATCACTACACGAAACTACCTTAAACTGGGTGTTTATTTTATATTTTGCAGGAAAATATGGCACTTTATTTAATAAAACTAAGTTTATTTGGTTGACTAACCAACCCAACTTTGATATCAGTTCCTCTGAAACTTTTGTATTGTTAATAATTGGAGTTTTTGAGTATGGACTCAAACAATCAGTTTCATGTATCCTAAGATGTGATTACATAATGCTAACATTCATATATATATATATATTGCCAAACAAACAAGTAACACCATTATTGTGTTCTGGAAGGATTCGAATACTTTAATTTATCATATTGTTAGTAGAGTTAAATGACCAAACCTCTTCTTGGTCATATATACAACAGAAGTTCACAACAACTAACCTGTATCAGCATGACGTATAAGTTCACCACCGAATAAATCTAAAATACTAAGATCAGAATTACTGGTAGAAATTATTCTAGGTGACATTGATGAATTTTTAAATTGATGCATAATAGATAAAGGAAAACTGGACATCTCCACAATAAGACGGCAAATTTGTGCAAAAAGATCTATACAACTGACTGAAGACGATGGTAATGACACTTGATGATTATGTTTCAATACAGATTTTTCATGAGATTTTTCTTTAGCACCTTCTTTGTCAACTATATCTTCATTGTTATTATCATTATTATCATTAATTTTGTTTATTTCTCCTTCATTCGAAATGATACTACAATCATGTTGACATTGTTCCGTACAAATGTTTCGAATAAATTCATTCATCTTCATCGGTATTGATTTATGTATGGATGGGAAAACAAAACGCAATAATGATAAATAAAAAGTAGCATCTATCAAATGCAAAAATAGTTTATATTCCAGAATAATAGTCAGAAAAAAAACAATTGAAAACTAGGGAGCATTGTATGGTCGATTTAACTCAATTAAAGACTTCTTAGAAGATATCACAATTGATTGATCACTGGGTGATGATCAATGTCATGCTTGTTTAGTCCTTATTAGTGCAGACCGAATGCTATCGAATATGTTGCAATGTGGCCACCAGTCTAGGTGACTCGACACTGCGGGCACTATGTATTGAGATTTAGGTGGTGGTTGGAGGTAGTCAACAGGAAACCCTGGACTGGTAGCCACATTGCAACATGATCGATAGCATTCGATCTGCACTTATAAGGACTAGACAAGCATGACATTGATCACCACCCAGTGATCAATCAATTGTGATTACATCTCAGTCCTACAGGAGGTTAGTCACGGCTCGGATAGCTCAGTGGTAACGTCTCCGACTGTGAAGCTGGGTGACACGAGATCGAATCCGCCAGGGAGCACCAGTTCCCTCAACATTACAGGTACACCTTGCTGACGAGTGCCAAGTAGCACGAAACCCGGGTCCAGGGTTTCCTGTTGACTACCTCCAACCACCATCTAGAAGAAGATATCTAATGAATCATATGGAATAAAACCAAGGAACCGTATTAAGCATATTAATTTTAATATAATAAATTAGAATAGAATGATATTCCTTAAAGTTTCAATACAAATGAATACTAAAAACGATATGTAATATAAATGAATTATATTCCATTTAACTGACAATGCATACATGATTTAATTCAATATGACGATTCCACGAAATCAAATGAAATATTCCTTTCAAGATTTAATTTGGAAAATAGAATATTTAAATCAAAAGTTATAAACGACTAAGACAGTAAATAGATGGAGAGGCATGTACCTAAATTAAAAAAACGCATTGGAATCGATCAATAGATCAGTCGCTAAGAAAAAACGTTTGTCACCGAGACCAAAGAACACATTACACGGAGAAATGGAGACAGACATGTGAAGAATGAAAAACAATTGGATAGAACTACAAAGGAAGATCCAGGACAGAGTGGGTTGAAGAATGCCGGTCGCTGACCTATGCTCCATTGGGGATAACAGGCCTAAGTGACCGAGACTAAAAGCAATATATGCCTGGAAGTCAGATGACAGATAGATTGTTGATGATCAGTCCGGATAAGTGTTGTGAACGAGAACACAGGTGGGGACAACCAATGTATTTTGATAAATAATTACAGAATGTCTAGGTAAAATATAAGAACCACACATTGAATACTTCATTTGCTAATTTCCATCATTTGTCCTTCACATCCTGTATGATTCTTCCTATTCGCAATTCCGTTTTATTCCCTTTAACTCCATCTTTTTAGCCTTCTGCTTCCAGGTTTTCCACTTCCGATTGCTGTTATATATCACTTATGACTGTCGACATAAGTAACATACATCACACAAGGCGAAAGTGAAAATTCAAAATTTCTCGTTAACTGGTTTTGGCCTACTGACTCCACGAAAATAATGACTAAGATGAACCGACTAGTATAATAGACACCGAAATCGTTGACCCAGAGACTACAGTTAACGTAATATATCTATTATATAACACCTGAATAATTGTCGAGAAATGCTATTATCAACAGGTCATTCAAAATACAGTAACGTGATTAACATAAATAACGTGAGATTAAACAATCAAACTGACGTTATGACTAGAATAATTAAAAAATTGAATTTTTATTTTCCGTATTTGAAATGATATATATTTAAACACATAAACATTGGTACAAGGAGGCATGAAATACATAGGCACCACATTAATCATTCGACTTGTGTGAGGGCTGTGATACTGCCCGGGTGCCCAAACTCAAGCAGGTCGTTTTCTTAGGGGGCCACACTCGGAGCCTTCGACCTAAAGGTCTGGTCAACAAGACAGTGGAACAACGTCATGAGATGCAGTCCCTTCGTAGACGGTGACCAACAATAGGTTCATAGGCCATTTGTTCCCCTAGGATCCTGGAGTCCATATGCATCATTGCTTTAGAATCAGAGTTTTCCCACTTCCCTAGGTGGATACTCCATATCCACCAACCCGGTTAAAGCCGGTGGCGGACATTCGCTTTTCATCCTCTCAATTTCATAAAAAAACACCCCTGCTGCGAGAAGTCAGTGAGTAGGACTTCCAAGACGGTGGTTGTATGCACGTGGCTATGCGAGAGCATTTCGAGAGGAAGAGCAAACTCTTCTCACTCTCGGCCGTACCAAAGTATTTGGGGGCTGTCTGGGTGGAAATCATTACTACTCAACAAGGATTTCAACATATTAAACAAGAATAATGAAAATACATTTTTTTAAATTAAACTAACTTTAACTGGTGAAAAATTTAAGACATGAATACAGAATATGCCAAGAAATCGTCGAAATTGACCAACTGCTTTAGCAATCATCATTAATTCCTCAGAAATTTGATTATCCTGACTATCAGCAATAGCATCATTACTGTTGATTTCATTACATTGACCACAATTATTATTATTATTACTGTTATTTGATAATAATAATTCCTCTTGACGTTTTAAATTGACTGGACTCGATAACTGATCAAATATTGTCACTGCATACTGTCAATAATAAAAGTAAAAATGAACACAGCATGAGATTATTGAAATTAAAAACCATTAATTGATTACTTATAATTAATAATAATCAATGATATACTGTTTAACAACTAGTCACTGACTGACTGACTATGTAATATGTATACTAAAATACAGCACAACTTTGCAGTGTAGTCTGTCGTATGAATTGCGGATGATGTTGACGTTCTTTTCAGGTTGATTGATTGTCTAACGATGATCCGTAGTGTCACGACTCGGTCTTTGCACGACCGATCCTTACAGAATCCGACATCTTAATCTCAAAGCTGAACGTCATTACTCCTACATCAGATATTTCATGTTGATATATGATGATTCCCAGGTACGTGAAAGATTACATATATTCCAGAGCTTCTCCATCAAGTGTGATTGTGTTAGTGTTGTATTTGAGGATATTGCTCTTTCCAAAAAATGTCTGTTGAGGCCTACTGATGCAGAGGCTTACTTAATTACGCTTGTTAATCCCAATGGAGAACAGTTCGCCGACAAGCATACTCCAAACCACTCTGTCCTGGGCCTTCCTTTTTAGTTCTAACCAATCTTTGTTCATTTTTCTCATTTCTGTCTCCATTTCTCGACGTAATGTGTTCTTTGGTCTTCCTCTCTTTCTTTTGACCTTCAGGATCCCGCGTGAGGGCTTGTCTTGTGACGCAGTTATGTGCTCTCCTCAATGTGTGTCCTATCCACTTCCAGCACTTCTTCCTCCGCTGGGATCTGTTTTGTTCTCTCCCAAAGTAAGTTGTTGCTGATAGTGTCTGGCCAACGGATCCGAAGTATTTTGCATTGCCGATTCGCGCCTTCACATCTGCATCAGATCCACCGTGTTCATCAATGATGCTGCTCAAATATGTAAAGGTTTTTACATCTTCCTGATCTTCGCCGTCAAGTGTGATTCGATTGCTGCATGCTGTGTTGTATCGGAGAATCTCGCTTTTACCTCTGTGTATATTGAGACCTACTATGCTGTGACTGTTGCTACGTTGGTCGTCTTCTCCTGCATTGGTTGTTGCGTTTACGATAGAAGATCCAGATCATCTGCGAAATCTAGATCCTCCAGCTGCATTCCAGCTGTCCACTATATACCATGCTTCCCCTCAGATGTTGATATCTTCATGATGCAGTCGATCACCAGGAGAAACAGAAAGGGTGAGAGTAAGCGACCTTGCCTAACACCGGTCTTCATTTCGAACGACTTTGTCAACTGTCCTCCATGCACGATTTTGCAGTTTAATCCATCATAGGAATTCCGTGTCGAAGAATCTCCCATAGTGTTGTCCTGTCCACGCTATCAAATGCTTACTCATAGTCAATCAAGTTGATGTAGACCGATGAATTCCATTCAATCCATTGTTTCACAATGATCCGTAGTGTTGCGATTTGGTCTATACACGATCTATCCTTACGGAATCCTGCTTGTTGGTCTCGAAGTTGGGCGTCTACGGTGTCCTTCATTCTGTTTAACAATACCATGTTGAAGACTCTTCTTGGTATTGAGAAAAGAGTGAGGCGTCTGTAGTTCTCGCACTTGCTGAGATCGCCCTTCTTTGATATTTTGGTCAAAAGTTCTTCTTTCCAGTCTGTTGGCACTTGTTCTTCATCTCAAATCTTGCTGAACAGAATATGGAGTATCCTTGCAGTTACTGCTACATCTGCTTTCAGTAGCCCTGCTGGAATGTTGTCTGGTCCTGCTGCTTTGCCACTCTTGATTTGTCTGATGGCCATGCTGATCTCTTCAATTGTTGGTGGGCCAACATCGATTGGGAGGTCCGTGGGTGCTACTTCGATGTTGGGTGGCTTTAGTGGGGCTGGTCGATTCAAGAGTTCTTCGGAGTGTTCTACCCATCTGTTTCGCTGTTGTTCTTTGATGTTTGTTGTTACCATGTATTCCATGCTTTTCACTGGCCGCCCTGGTTTAAGATAATTTCCGACGAGTTTCTTTGTTGTGTCATACAACCGTCTCATGTTTCCTACTCGATCAGTGCCTGCAATTATCATGACTAGCGATTAGGGACGGGTTTCTAGGATAAGAATCAACCACAATTTCAAAATTATATTCACTATTTGTTTTCCTTCATTTGTCGAATTTTGGACCATTACAAAAATTCATGTTTTTTGAATCACTTCGTCTATACCGAATCTTATCTGCTGCCACTAAATTGTTAGCACGTCTGCTACTCTGGCATTCGGCTTGATAATTACATCCCGTACTGACGTGGTGCGGCGGCTTAAACCGACTCTCATATTCCAGATCGTACGACGCTTATCACTGACATACATACTACTTACGCCTATTACCCGTCGCAGAGTATAGGCCACTTATCAGCACTTTCCATCCAACCCTGTCCGGGACAACCCTTCCCAGCTGCTATTCATCATTTTGATGTCTGCTTTCAATTCTCGGTGGAGTGTGTTCTATGGCCTTCCTCTTTTCCTTTTCCCTTCACGATTCCAAGTTAGGGCTTGCCTCGTGGCGCAGTTTGATGATTTACACAATGTATGTCCCATTGATTCCCATTTCCTTTCTTGAATATTTTCCATTGTTTCGATAGAGATCCATTCCTTATGATGATAATTTATGCGATCCAAAACCTCCTGACACGTTGAAGTTAGTACTTCTTTGATCCATTTCCAGTTATCCTCCATAGTAGTTTCTTTTTCTCTGAGTAGATCTTGGAAGGCTTGGAACTTTTTGTTGAGAACTATCTTGAACTCGTTGAGTTTGTCAGTATCTTGATGGAAGGCTGTGTTGAACCTTTCTAATTGCAATTCCGTAGTTGTCCAGTGTTTCTTTAGCTTCAATTTCATCTTCGCAACCACTACGTGGTGAAATGAAGCTATGTCAGCTCCTCTCCTGGTTCTCATATCTTCCAGTCACCTTTTTGAATTTTTTACTGATGCAAATATGGTCGATCTGATTCTGTGTAGTTTGATGCGGTGAGACTCATGAACTTTGTGTATGCGTCTGTTGGGAAATATTGTGCCGTCCGTAATCATTTTGTTGAATGCACATAAATTTGCAAATCTTTCCCCATTTTCGTTCCTCTCACCCAGACCATGTCGTCCCATGATATCCTCATTTCCGACTTTGGCATTTAGACCTCCTATCAAGATGGTGAGGTCTTTTATTGGGCACTTCTCTATGATTGATTGCAACCTTTTTGAGAACTGATCTTTATTGTCGTCGCTGCTACCATTGGTGAGTGTATAACATTGGATAATATTCATTGTGATTTCCCCTTTTGCTAGATCTTTTCTGGATCCATGAGATTCCCACCAAATAAGCGCTTCATGTGCTTCATTGGACAGCATCAGAGCAACGCCCTGAGTGTGTGGAGTATTTTCTTCTTCGTGGCCAGAGTACAGCAGCATCTGTCCCGAATCTAATCTTTTCTGTCCAGCTCGGATCAAATGGGTTCCACTGATTTCAAGCACCGTCAAGTATCTCCTTATTGCCGTAACTATTTGACTGCTACTCCTGGTCTCCCAAATTGTTCGGACATTCCATGTACCTATATTAACTATTCGTCTGGTTGTTAGAAGGGGTATGGTCGTCATGAATTTCGAAGGATCTCGGCTTTCATCATGAGGTATCATTAACTCTTCCTTCAACTCGGAAGGCAGAATTTAAATGGTTTAATTTGTTTGTTCTTGTTACCGTATTTTTAGCAACGTCGTTTTCTACGGGATGGGGTTTCCAACCCCATACCCAACACTCCTCCTTTACCCGGTCTTGGGACCGGCAGCAACCATAGAGGTGCCACAGGTGGAGTTCAGACTAAATTAGTCGGAATAGAATACCAAACCGAAACCACAAGCTAAAGAATGTAGCGGTGTACTGAGAGAATCATAAGAAACGATAACTACCCAGAATTTAACTCCATACCAACTCTTTTGAATTAGTCCCACCTTATTCTATATAAACAAACAACTGTTTGTAGCATCGATCAGAATGGAATATAGTAATGAATGTTTGTTAAACTTGGGTCGAAAATAAGTGATCAGTGAACAGAATGAAGATACGAATTATTATGTAAATAATGGTGTCTGCTGTGACTAGATATTGACAACAGTATTAAGATTAAGTAAGATCTGTCACAATTGATTGATCACTGGGTGGTGATCAATGTCATGCTTGTCTAGTCCTTATTAGTGCAGATCGAATGCTATCGAACATGTTGCAATGTGGCTACCAGTCCAGGGTTTCCTGTTGGCTAGACAAGCATGACATTGATCACCACCCAGTGATCAATCAATTGTGATTACATCTCAGTCCTACAGGAGGTTAGTCACGGCTCGGATAGCTCAGTGGTAACGTCTCCGACTGTGAAGCTGGGTGACACGAGATCGAATCCGCCAAGGAGCACTAGTTCCCTCAAGATTACAGGTACACCTTACTGACGAGTGCCAAGTAGCACGAAACCCGGGTCCAGGGTTTCCTGTTGACTACCTCCAACTACCATCTAAGTAAGATCTGTCTACAATAATAAATATAATGGGATAACTAACATTAAATTAACAAACCTACCTCACGTATATGATGTACAATCGTATCTAAACAATTGATTATACTAGCCCATTCTAAAGATGTTAATTTATACTCTGAGAAACTACCTTCCTGTGATAATAAAGATTGATCATGATAATGTAGGTTACAATTAACTCGAAGTTTTTCAACTAAACAATTAGTTAAATGAATAATTAAATGTGGAAGATATAGACTACGAACATTAGGATATATATCAATTGGTAAACAATTCAAAAAGAAATTTATTATAGAACACCATTGAATTAATGATAATTTCAATGATGATTGTTGCCAATTATCATATTCAATGGATGATGATGATGATGATGATGACATAATCTTATTAGGATGTATATTCATTGATCCGATTGTATTGACTGTTATGGTTGATGATAAATTCAATAATTCAGTAAATTGATTTTCAATAAATTTCCATAAAAATTCACTACTTATATTACTGAAAAATAAATGTGATGTACGTAAGAATTCATCAACAACATTATTAGTAGTAGTATTAGTAGTAGTAGTAGTAATAGTTGTATGATTATTAGAATGTTGTATTGAAATCTTATTGATATTTGAATCATTTGAAGGTAATGAATCTTCTCTATCGACTAAAGTTGTTCCATTATATTCTAAATTTCTACCTTGATTATCAATTCCTGGAATAAACGAAAAGCATGAATATTTTTTTAAGAAGAAAGATAGATAAAGAAACTATTCGATTTTAAAATGTTTATTAATAGACGATGATGATGATGATTATAAGTTTTATTCCCAGTAAAGTATAGATGTATGAAGTCGGCTTTGAGTTATTATTTAATGTCATAGGAAAGGTATCTGGATTGGAAACCTAATGGTTAAGTTAAATTGAATTAAATGGCAAACTTACATAAAAATATGGCATAACTGTTTTCAGACTGATTATTGATCACACTCAGTCAGCAACAATGTAGAACTTCGTACGTACATACGTACATCAGTTTGAGTTGCCATACCACATTAGCACAGAGATACAATTGTCGATTCAATTGTCTGATAATATACGGAATTTGTGCTTAACAACATGACTCAGTCCACTTGTCAGTGACTTCATGGATTTGTGCCACGTTTTGGTCTGACCACCCATAGCTTTCTTCCAACCAACTCCTACACCATAAAACATCCCACGTCCAGAGAGGCCGTGGTTAGGCATACGTAACACGTGTCCCAGCCATCTCAACTGATGAAGTTCCACTACTTTATCGATTCATTCGCCATCCTTACATAGTACACATTTCCTAACAACTGAATTACTTACTCGGTTGTCCCATGATATACGAGTAATGCTTCGAAGACATCTATGATCAAATACTAGTAGCCTACAAATATTCTTCACACATACCGGCCACGTTTCACTGCCATAAAGTAGGACGGAACGAACTGCTGTTCAGTAAACACGTCCTTTGGTTGATAGATGGATATCTCACCTACGCCATAAATGACGCAAGTTGGCAAAAGTTAGTCGAGCCTTCTGTATCCGTGCTGAGGTTTCGTCACACACCAGACCACAAGGGCTAATGAGATGATGATCACACTGTTAAAAGTACATTGTGATATTTTGATACATAGTGACTGGGTAAATTAGTGATTATAAAGAAGTACTAAACAACCCTATGTCTGATACTACAACTCATTATAACATACTTATTGGCAATCGCTCGACCACAGCTGCCATTCTTATGTGGTGACTGGTGAAAGCCCAATCGAGTTATATTGGGCGGAACACATTTTTTGAGGCTCTATCATACCAAACAGGCTAGCTGTATATTGGCAAGAGTGAGATCAGCAAGCATAAGGTTCGAGGAGGAAGTTACACTTTCAACTGTAAGGGGAGGTAGTAGCACCTAACAACATTTAATTCACTTACACGAATTCCGGATATTATCAGACAATTCTATCTCTGTGCCAATGTGGTATGGCAACTTGAACTGATGTATGTACGTACGAAGTTCTACGTTTTTGCTGATTGAGTGACTGATCAGACTCCTGGGGTCCATAATTACGCTCTCACGCCAAAATGACTTCACTACTCATCTACCTTCTTTTTCAAGTCCCTTAAGAAAAGACTTCCGTTCGCAGATTTTGTAATCGAGACTTATCAACCACCCTACATACAACTCCAACAGTCTTGCCACCTTATATTAATTGGAGAAAAATATTTTAAAAATAATTCAAGTATATATTACACAAATAGATATATGAAGATTACAGATAGCAGGAAAAAAAAGAACTCACGTAAACTCGATGGTTTTGCACTATCACGAATTAAAATATAATCTTTAATTAGATTTGTCATATTGCTTGGTAATTGTTTATCACATAAACTTGGTCGATTTACTAAATCTGATATAGTTAATGTTGAATCACGATGTGATGATTTATTTATTTGGTTTGAATTCATCAAACAACATGTAGTTTGCCAACGTAATTTTAAATAACCTTCATAAGTATACCACATTATATCTAATAATAAATTATCTAAAAGTCCATGAGCTATATCTGGATGATCAGTTAGACCGACTAAAACACGAAATGGACGCTCGGAAATGCTTCGTTCTATAACTAGAAATAAATATTAATTGGTGATTAAGGGTACATTGGTGAAAGAAATAAATAAATAAACGAGATTTTGCGAAGATTGATTTGATTTGTAGTTATAAGTCGCCTCAGATCAACCTCATCTGGGTTACTAATGAAAACCAAGGAGTACTGGATAACTATTCCATTCTGGAATAGGATTCCTCAGTAGTGAAAACCCAATAACCTAATGTCTTGTGGCAAGCGTTGGCTCAGTATTTCTGATGGTTAAGTGTTATGTTTTTTTGCAAGACATGAAGGTCCTGACTTTGATACCATTTGGAGTAGTGGGTTCGCACTGTTGAGGCGTTCTATAACAGAACGAAACAGCCATCTAGTACTCCCTCGTTTTCAGGAGTAAACCAAATGAGGTCAATTTCTGACGAACATTGCCTACAAAATATAGATTCATTAAAAAAAGTGGTTACTTAACCGTATTAGTAAACATAAATAGACTTATGATTATGGTGTTGTAGATTCTCATTCTGAGCAAAAAACTTTTATGCATAAATTCTAACTCCAATAGAAATTTAAACATGAGATACATGTAAAAAAATACGAGGTTGACATTTGAAAATTGAGGAATGAAACTTTTAATCTCCCAACCTTCAACCTTGATTTCGTCGATCTTCCATTGAATCATGAGTAATGAGATTATTTCACAATTTACATCACATGATTTCAATCATTGTTTCCAAACAATACTCTGTATCATTAGTTCACCATCACAAGTGGTTATATTAATTCAACTCTTGCTTTCAACCTTAACTGTGCCACATCCTATGAGTTTGGTAGTGATCATCCAAACGGTTAACATATGGCCCCCAAATGCCCTGGTACGGCCGAGAGTGGGGAGAGTTCTCTCCCCCTCTCCAAATGCTCTCACATGGCCACACGTATATAGCCCCTGCCAGGGAAGTCATACTCACTGCCTCCTCGTGGCGGGGGTGTTGTTTACGAAAATGGGAGGACGAAAAGCGAATGTCCGGCGCTTTACCCGGATTCCAAACTAATGGTGCACATATGCTCCAGTATCCTCAGGGAACAAATGGCGTATGAACCAATTGTTGGTCACCGGCTTCCATGGGACTGCATCTCCTTACGATGCTCCACTGCCTTGTGGATCAGACCTTCAGGTCGAAGGCTCGGGGAGTGGCCCCCTAAGAAAACCACCTGCTTCGGTTTGGGCACCCGAGCAGTATCACAGCTCTCACACATATCGAATGAGATTTGTGTGGCGCATATGTATTTAGTACCTCATTGTACCAATATCTATGTGTTAAAATAAATAAATAAATAATCTGCCGACATCGAAACTACGTGGGAAGAATCCAATGGTACTGTTTCATATACGTGTGTGCATTGTTTATGAGCGTCCACAAGTTTGTCACAACTCCATATTAGGAGAAACGTAACTTCTTGGTTTCAAACGATACAAAACATGTCTCAGCCTACAAACCAATAGTATTCCTATGACCATCGTATGCAGTGACATATCAAACTAAATAAAATCTATGCTGATTGTGTTCCCTTTATGAACTTAATCTGTAATAGGAAGTAGTATTATATGAATTTCTCTATTGTTGTTTTATCAAGATGTTGGGGATGTTAGATCCTCAGAACTCACTCGGTAAATACCTTAATTTTGTAGTTTTATTTTGAAAATTTGAACTTCTTTGTTTTCGCGCCAAAAGCACTCTTTTCACCTTCATGTTATATTCCCTACTCAGGAGAATCATAAAAGCTATTGGTCCGTTGTATCTTTTAGTATGCTATTTTGTAACGCTTCCCAGGGACAGTTTTATGCTGTATATATACGTTTGATTTGTGCCTGTTGTTATCATTCGTGCTTATGGCTGCTTGTGGAATATATTTCCCCGTTCGAACTTCGACTTCTCTCTCTCTCTCTGGTTAGCGGGGTTGGAACGTATCAGAATAGCTAGCTTATTGGTTTTTGGTCACAGAGTCTTTGTTCCGTTCACAGACTAGGTGAACTCGTAATCACTTCAAACATAGCACAAGAATAATTTCTTTCATGAAAAATTTTTTAAAAAAATCTGAATAAAAATTTACCTAATGCAGATAAATCTGATCCAAATGTGAATTTAGCAGAAAAATTCAAATGATTTTCATCGAATTGACATGGAATAGGTAAACAAGTAGGATTATAGATTAAACGACGTACAGCTTCTGTAAGAATTATTTGTGAGTATAATTTAAAGTAACGTTGACTATTATTTTCATTTTTATCATTTAATGCCTAAATAATACCATAAGGAATGAAAACAAAAACAAACAGTTAAACTCATTTAATGGTTGTTTAATACACAAAACATAAATATCAAGCTTAAATTCTACTTTTAGATATGACTTATTATACAAATATTGAATTAATTGACATGCATAATACAGGAATTGTTAAAATCAATATAATAAATGATTATTGATAAATAGTAATGATAGTAACATGAAGAGACAACCACATCTGATATTACTTCCAGACCGCAGCCGCTAATTTGACGTGGTGGTCGACTCGCTTATTTTAATAACTCAACCGAGTACTATTGGCCAGAACACATGTTCCTTTAAGTGCTGCCATGCCAGCCAAGTCGGTTGGAGAACCTAAAAGCAGTAACCTAACGCTCTAGGGCGAGGGCTGATTACTGACCGCACAGAGGTCTGACAACAGTAATATTCGAACTTTGAGTGAGATACGGAAATAGGTTTCTTTAGCTACGACTCTAGAATCTTGTCATCGATGTATGTTGCGTCTCCGAAACGCGCGTACAGGACCCAAGTAGAGTCATTCATTTTACCTAGCCACGTCAAAATAAAAAACACGATTTATGTTCCAAGTATCTGAGGACCCCACGGCTACTTCCTGTGGCATATCTGATGTAGGTATAGCATTAAGTTCAAAAGCAGAACAGGTTTTTTCAGACTAGATTCTAGTAGACAGTTACTTGTGCGCCGTCCGACTAAACGGGATAGTAATAACTGGACGTAGAAAAGCTACAGCAAGAAGACCCCTCAGAGTCCAACCTAATGATGAAAATTTTTTCGGAAGCAACAAGAAAATGTGCTAGTCAAACATGAAATGATATCCACCCCGAGGTAGCTTGGTATGATATATATATATATATACCAGATTATATATATATATATATATATACAAATCTTTTATAAATAACTTACCAATACATGTTTATCATCCACTTTATCTATGACTATGTCTGCCCATGTCATTGATTGGTTATCTAAACTATCCACAACTATTCCCTCAACTGACTGACTACCTTTAAGCCAAATAAATAAACGACGATTCAAAGATGCATCACGACGTAGTAAAATAGACAACGAAGCTGTACATAACATAGCGAAATCTTTCACTGTTAACGATTTGTTAGTGATAAACTGAAATGGATTACGCTCTGTTGTTTTCGAATAAAAATGTATTGGTAATGCTAACAAAATAAAATCAAGGGCATCACGTTGTACTAGTAGAACACTGTCACCGAATAGACAACATAAACTCTCTACCTATAAAAAGATAAATTAGACAGTAAATATTTACACTGAATGGTTAGTATTATTAATATTATCAGTACGTTGAACAAATCTTTCATCTCAAGATATTTTATATTTTCTATCAGGGATATTTTATCTATTAATAAGTATTTATCTTATTCTATTTAAGCGCATAAACATTGGTACAAGGAGGCATGAAATACATAGACAGCACATTAATCATTCGATTTGTGTGAGGGCTGGGATACTGCCCGGGTGCCCAAACTGAAGCAAGTGGTTTCATTAGGGGGCCACACTCGGAGTCTTTGACCTAAAGGTCTGGTCAACAAGGCAGTGAAGCAACGTTATGAGATGCAGTCCCTTCTTAGCCGGTGACCAACAATAGGTTCATAGGCCATTTGTTCCCTTAGAATCCTGGAGTCCATATGCATCATTGCTTTAGAATCAGGGTTTTCCAACTTCCCTAGGTGGATTCTCTATATCCACCAACCCGGTTAAAGCCGGTGGCGGACATTCAGTTTTTGTCCTCTCGACTTCATAAAAAACACCCTTGCCGCAAGAAGGCAGTGACTAGGACTTCCAGGGCAGTGGTTGTATGTACGTGGCTATGTGAGAGCATTTCGTATTAATAAGTAGGTGTTCTTTAATGAAAAACATGCATATTTTAGACGAAATACTAATGATCATTTTGGTATGAGAAAAATCATCTAAGAATTCAGTCTAATGCATAAAATGTATACACCAAAAGACAATTATTCTCATTTAAATGCCAAGTTCAATGAAGGTAAAATATAATAAGTTGGAATCAAGTTCGTTAAGTAACGTATACTCAACAGATATCCTTATATCAGAAGGGGTTTTGTGGATATTATAGTAATTTTATTAATTGAGATCATGAATCAATTGAAGCTAGACTACAATGGAAAACCTGAAAGCACTAGACGGCCATTTCGTCCTATTGTGGGACTCATTAACAGTGCCCATCCACGATCCCAACTCGCGAGATTCGAACCCAGGATCTATAGGTCTCATGTGTGAACGCTTAACCTCTAGACCACTAAGTCAGCATTCTTATAACTATCAAATTTAAAACTAGAAATAATCAGTAAACCTTTTAAAGTACCAGATGGAAATTATTTACTTCCTATTGATAATGAAAAATTAAAATTATTATGAAATTCGTACTGATAATGTCGTTCAGAAGAATGATGAAAGCTCCATGACCAAACCCATTTAGCTTAGAGAATAATACTCCATCAAAACCTACCTACATACAAGCATAAAACTAGCAAAACAACAAATAAATAATTAGAAAATTTTGTTTAACTTACAAGAATATTTTTATCTAAACCATAAATATAACTTTGACTATCTAATGATTTACGTTTGTTTAAATGATTGAGTATAAATGAAATTCCATATTGTCGTATAGATGGACATCGAATTAGAAGCTTTAAAGCGAAGGAAATAAAATAAGATTACAGAGGGAAGTATACTGGAATAAAAAATATCAGTGATTTGATCAACTGAGAACATTGGTTAACTCTTCAGAATAATCTTCAAATGTTACTTACTTACTTACGCCTGTTACACCTTATCGAGGAGCATAGGCTGCCCACCAGCACTCTTCATCCAACCATGTCCTGGGCAATCCTTTCCAGCTCTTCCCAGTTCCTACTCATCCTTTTCATATCTGCTTCTATTTCTTGATCTAATGTGTTCTTTGGCCTTCCACTTTTCCGCCTTCCTTCAGGATTCTAAGTTAGGGCTTGTCTCGTGATGCAGTTTGACGATTTGCATAGTGTATGTCCTATCCATTTACATCGCCTTTTCCTAATTTCCTATTCAGCTGGAAGCTGGTTTGTTCTCTTCCACAGAAGGCTGTTGCTGATGGTATCCGACCAACGGATGTTGAGTATCTTGCGTAGACAGCTATGTATAAATACTTGTACCTTCTTGATGATGGTTGTTGTAGTAGTCCTCCAAGTTTCACCTCCGTACAGCAGAACTGTTTATACATTCACATTGAAGATCCTGACTTTGATATTGGTTGAAAGTTGTTTGGAGTTTCATATATTCTTCAGTTATATGAATGGATTAATTCTTGTTCAATAGAAAATTACTAAATAGCTCTAGTAAACCAACGGGTCAAGTGTTGTATACCTAACTGGATAATTAACAATGTTGTTACTAATTTTAGTATATTTCAAGAAGCTTTTGTAAAATCAATTTTGTAGGTAAACCTTTAAATATCCTTTTTTCCTGTAACTATATTAGCCTTGAGATTAAAGCCAATTTTGACACTTCCCACATTTCACAATGTCTATTTTTATGTTCTGACTGAATTCCGTCAACTGAACAACAAATATGTAGTAGGTAGAACTCAATTACAGCCAATGGTGAAGGAAAAAAGATATTGCTTTCTATCCAAAGTGTTTGCTGTATCAAAATTCTAATGAAAGTCAGTGACAACTAGAACATTATAATGATGGCCAATTGACAGCTTTCAATAATCTAGTACAAAACAAACTACATGAATCTTGATCTGTCACAATGATATATTCCAAGTAACAATTTCTACAGCAAAAGGCTTCCCAGTTATTCTGATATGCCGTGGAGTAGGGATAATCAATCCTCACGCAATCACCAGCATTTACGCAGCTACTGAGATACACGACCTTTCCTAATTTCCTATCTGCTCACTACAAAGAGTGAGTCCAGGTAAATGTTCCCTTCAATTTTGTAGAAGTACTTTGCACTTGTAAGGCGCAAAGCACATGTCAAACCTACAGACACCGATTACCAACTGATTAAGTGTGGATTGCATGACTTCAATAGAACAATGGAGAGAGGTGGTCGTATGCCCTCAAGGTATTTGTATATAGAACCTTCATGATGTTAATACGTTTATCAAGCACACCCTTCTTCAATAGACAATCCTAGAGAACAATCCTGTCCAATGAATCGAAGGAAGCACTAATGTCAAGAAACACTACAATTGTTGGTCTGTAGTAAGTATAATAGTGTCCTAACGTTTGGCGGATGATATGATTAATACATTCTCGACCAGAACGAAAATCAGCCTGCTCCTCGTGAGTCAATCCTTCCCAGATTTTGAACAATCTACGAAGTATGATGGGAGCTAATAGTTTGGAAGCACTCGAAAGTAAGTTTACTCCATGGTAGTTGTTGAGTAGGCAACGTAAACTATTTTTAAAGATAGAGACGACTGTTAAATCGTCCCGGGAAGTTGGAACACTCTCTAATTCTCAAAACTTGCAAACAACTCAATTCAATAACCAGAAAGTCGCCACTGTCTTTAAAAAAGGTCGGAGGTAAGTTGTCTAGGCTTGGTGATTTGTAGGGCTTCAAAAGATGGAGTACCTTGTGAACTTCTATATCGTTAGGTAGATCAGTCGACACTAACCAGGAAAGATAAAAAAGGTCTCATTAATGTCACCGGAGCAACAAAATAATTGAACTGTTCCTCAAAAAACTCTATGTACAGCACAAGACGTCGGTAGATGTTATTGATTGATGTTATATAATTTTCACATATTGTTTCACTCACACAAGACTTCTAGCTGCCAGTCACTCGAATAAATTGAAAGAGGTTCAGACAGTTACTAGATGCAGCTGTTGTTTCCAAACGGTTAGCATGTTCAGACCACCAAGATTATCGGTTCTTACGCAAACTTCAGTTACAGTGTAGTGAAGCAGAACACAAGTGAGGACAACCCATTATATTTAGCACAAAATTCGAGTTACTCGATATAATAGAAAAACATTCCAATACTTTATTTACAAAATGTTCATTAATTGTTCCTACATTTCCATACTAATTGCTTTCTGTTCGCGTTCTTCCCTCCTCGATTTTCCCAACCTTCTGTTGCCAAATATTCTATTCCTGACTAGCTCTATATACTACTTATGTCGACATAAGTAGCACACACTACAACAGTATGTAACAATCTACCTCCATTACCAAACTCGCGGTTACCCAGAGTAGACGGACATGCCCCAGAGAGTTATAAGGGGCTTCTAGAAAACCAGTGGTTATAAGCGCGACGTTTTACGAAGCCGTAAACGACTTTACTCGCTAATTTCATAGTCATCCTATTGAAACTAATGTTCATCTGTACTTATTAGTGGGTAGATAGCTAGCCTTGAATCTAGCTCGGTTTGGCACTTAATTGTAACAGAAGCTGCAACTGATCCGTTTAGGAAGATGAATTTGTTGGCCACTAAAATACCTTTCGTCCTCTAAATTTCGCAAGCAACAAACCCGCCACGAGAAGGCAATGAGTAAGACTTCATTTTAATTAGGATGAAATTTAGAAATATGTAGTGTGATATGTCATCATCTCATACAAGCAAAAAGTCATATTACCTCCCACAAACACGTATAAAAGAATGCAGATCCCACAGAGGAACTGAACATTTCTAACATTCGATTTCCACGTTCAGAGAATTCCGCGCCTGGTTCCAAACCCGGTAGTAAGCCCTGGAAAAACAATATCAGAATTACAGCGGTTAATAACATACCTATACGTTATGGCACTAATATTCATATCAAAAGTACACTAAGAAGGTAAACACACAATGAATATGACCGGCTTTATTCCCAGACCAACTAGATGAACAAACAATCATTAAAAAAAACAGAATGAGTATCACCCTAAATTTTTCGGGTAAAAAAGTTTAGTAATTAATTATCGTTGTCTGTGAAATGATATGTGTTGAAACTATCAAATTTAGGAGTGCTATCATATCATAATTTTGTGAGATGTCATCACGTCAGTAGGATCTGTCATTCATTAAGCTGTTATCAAAACAGGTTAGTCACCAACATTTTCATATACACCTAAAATGCCACTGAATCGTTAACCTCCGTTTTTCAACTACATTCTCCGCGTTTTATATCAATCGACTTTACTGATTTTGATTTTACTTTCCCGTTAATAGTTCTACTAACATTTTAGTTTACTATGTGATTATTTTCGAAAACAGTGGTCTTGGGTGCTGTTAGAGGTATGAGGGCGGCTATCACTTCCCGGTTGCCCACACCGTGGAAGGGTTCTTCTGGAGGTACCTGAAAAGGAAATCGGATTAGAGGTGGTCTCAGTGACCTGAGAGCGTGACCGCAGTGCCCAAGGGACAGCTGCTTGAGGCCGGTCGCGCACGGCCTTTTCGTGGAAGGTTTTCGACGTGTTAGCTCCGTTCTTCAAAGGGCCTTACCGCCGGAGACGGAAATCCGTGAGGTAAGGTGAGGTGTGCATTTTTAGGGTCGACCTTTTCTAACCCCACCCCTCCTTGTGGGAAGGCAGCATCGCTGTCATGCTGGTTGTCTGAAGGAAACACCTTACTGCTGTCACACCTCTGTACAGTCAGCAGTACGACTTCGCCTTCGGACCTTGGGTTTGTTGCTTTTAGTCTTACCGCTCTTCAACCGACCTGTCTGACATGGTAGGACCTTGAGGAACGGTTGTTCCAGTCAGTATAGCTCGGTTGCTTCATCACGATAGGCAAGCCCGACCACCACGTCAAGGTAGCAACAACGGTCGGGATGATGACTCGACAAGTCTACACTGTGCAATATCACTGGTGTTGTCGATTATTTGGTACACTTGACTGTGCGACTCTATCTCTAAACCTGGGACTCGCAATTCGATACTTAAAACCTCTCAAACCCTAACTTTTAATCAACCTACCTGACATGATAGGAACCTAAGCAACAGTCACTTCAGATAATTTAAGTTGGTCGGATAATGATGTCGACCAAGCCTCAAAGATGTGTTAGGATAGTGACTAAGGTAGTGATATTGCGACTAAATTTGGGCTACATAAAGTTAGTTTTAACTAAGCAGAATTTATTTGAATCCACAAACACAATGTATCAATCGAAGATTGAAGAAATGATAACATCGGGAGCCATTTTACAGATTATCATTATATATATTTTTATAGTATAGTTACTAAATAGCTGGATTACTAAATCTCTATACTTCATTTACTGTAAGCTTTCGTTTAACGCATTAATTATTACTATACAGGTTACTATACCTAATTTACTACTAATCAATTATTTACAGCCTAACCTATTTACAACGACGTTTGGATTGTTTCTGTAAAACAGTAATTTTTTAATTAGTGGTGTGATGTGGCTCAGCATGTTTGTGTGCTTGAAATATAACACAACAGAAGCTGGCATTCAAGGCAGAGTGTAAGAGATTACGGAGAGCAGATCGATAGGAGTTCAGCTTGCACTGGACTGAGGCTACTGTGTAGATCAAATAGTCGACATGAGATAGAAAAAAATTATAATCATAAATCTGATTGGTGAATTAAACACGTGATATCGATTAACGTCTCAAGTCATAACCATAAATACTGCCAAAAATAGTACCAAATGATTATTTCATCGCACCGTAGACAAGTAACTGAAGAGCAGTTAAACTTATGAAAATTACTTGATGACTGACTTTATAAGTTTGCTCAAAAATTTTAATAGCCAAACTATGTCCCATAACAGATGGTCGTGGTGATATATAATGGAAAATCTGTTTAAAACTTGACAACTGTTTTTGGTTGTGTTCACTAAGACATGATGTTAAGCAATGAAAGTCGTAAGTAGTGAATATAAAGCTAAATACTAAATTATGTATTTAGACGAGGCCTTGAATAAAAAGCATATGTATTTACACTACAGAACATGTGAAACGTATATAAAACACCAGGACACACCATACATATGATAATGACCATTGGCAATACTTTATTTAGCTATGCAAGATGATATTAATACCGATGGATCGAAATGAATAGTCACCTGATTGAGAATAAATGACCTAAACTTATGAAACATATCTACTCATATGTAGTACATGAAAGCGGGTGGAAAATGCACTGTTGTAGGACTATCAAGAATATTGTATTATTTAGAAGGCTTAAAATCAAACCAAGCAGTTATACTGAACAAAGCTAAAACAACAATGGAGACAGTTCTATTGACATTAATTGGAATGAGGAAAAAAGAACAACCCATTGTACCTTTAATAGTCCTAAAAATGATGGATGAAGCAATTTCCCAAGAGGAAGCAAGTGTTCTTCATAAATATCAAACAGCGGTGACTTAACAGTCATAGCAGATGGCTCGAGTAGTGCAAACAAGCCTGGACCATAAACATACAAATCATAGGCGACACGTTCAGGTCCAATAGTGCGGAAAATTACGTCGTAACACTCTAACGCTTTGCAATGAACACCAGCCGGTAGAGCAGGATGAAGACATTGGGCGAGACGTTTACCAATAACGAAACTTCGAGGAACGTAACCACATTTTGTATTTGACTGAATGACCTACAATTTATTTTTAAAATAAAATCGAAGTATATGAGTGCTAAAAGTAAACTGGATGGGCAATAGTAATTAATAACATTACTAGTTAGTTTGTCACGACTTTTTATTCATGTATTACATACATTTAAAATATGTAGATAATTTTAATACCCAGAGATTGAAGCACATCATATGTATAGGAAAAACTTCGCGAAGCAAAAAGCTAATCAACAGGAAATTCTCAGTGTAAAGAGGAAGTTGGTGGTGTATGTTTACCGAAACACGTGGTAGCATTGAAAACATATCATTACACCAAACGTTATTTTTAACAACAATCAGAAGGAAAACAAAACAAAATGTTAAAAACCAGAAAGGGATAAGTATCACCAAACGAATGAATGAGAAATGCTTAGTTTAGACACAAAGCACTATACAAAAATTCAAATTGGTTAGTGAGACTGTTAATCTTCATCGGTTGTGGTTGGAACATGTATTAAACATCATCAACTAGACCCTACATTGATGCAAAAGGTTGGCTAGAGTATGAATAGGTTGAAAGAAAACCCAAGCCACCCAAATCAAGATATAACATCAGTCCATGAAATCAATGGCCGTTGATTTGAGCCATGTTGATACGTGCGAATTACCTAGTCGTGGGCCCATACGATAAGCGTAATAAGTGGAGACGTTTAGTGACATGGTTCAGAATTGGTCACAGCGAGACAGATCTATTAAATCTTTACCTTCTCCAAAGCTTCATTATTTCGTACTTTTACCCAGAAAATTCATCACTTTTTGAAATAAACTTTCCAATACTTGATTTTCTTCACTACCAATGATAACATCGTCTGTAGGGTTACTGCCGGTCCCAAAACCGGGTAAAGGAGGTTTGGATCTACGAGAGGCCACAATCAATCATAGAGAAGTGCCCAATAAAAGACCTCACCATCTTGATAGGAGGTCTAAATGCCAAAGTCGGAAATGAGGATATCATGGGACGACATGGTCTGGGTGAGAGGAACGAAAATGGGGAAAGATTTGCAAATTTATGTGCATTCAACAAAATGATTACGGACGGCACAATATTTCCCAACAGACGCATACACAAAGTTCATGAGTCTCACCGCATCAAACTACACAGAATCAGATCGACCATATTTGCATCAGTAAAAAATTCAAAAAGGTGAATGGAAGATATGAGAACCAGGAGAGGAGCTGACATAGCTTCATTTCACCACGTAGTGGTTGCGAAGATGAAATTGAAGCTAAAGAAACACTGGACAACTACGGAATTGCAATTAGAAAGGTTCAGTCAGTCAGTCAGTCAGTCAGCTACAACGTAGGACCAGGCACATATGTGCATCGGTCCAGGTTGCCATACCTCATTAGCACAACAAGATGAACACCGGATTCATAGGAGTGGTTAGGTTAAAGGTTGCAATAAGGATATAGTATAGGAAGGAAGAATTAGTTCGTATGAAGTGATTTTAATCTCTTAGTTTAAGGGAAGACAAAGAGTGTATACACCGACGCCATTGTGATCGATTCTGAGCCATGTCACCAAGAGTCTCCAACCATTGGTTACGACAGTCACGCGGACCCCAACCAAGTAGTCTGCATCTACCAACATGGCTAAGACTAGAAGTTAGTGACTTCAAGCACTGATGCCACGTTTTGGTTTGGCCGCCCCTAACTTTCTTCCAACCATCCCCTACACCGGTTAGCATTGCACGTCGTGGTAATCGGTGTTCAGGCATACGTAATACGTGGCCCAACCATCTCAGTCGATGAAGATTCATAACCTCATCAACTGATTTACCATCATTCCCTAATACCCTGCGTCTAACCTCACTATTACTTACCCGGTGATTCCAGCAGATGCCAGCAATATTTCTAAGGCACCTGTGGTCAAATACTTGTAGCTTACGGGTGTCTTCTACTCTTAAAGGCCATGTTTCGCTGCCGTAAAGTAAGACAGAACGGACTGCCGCGCAGTATACTCGTCCTTTTATTGATAGACGGATATCTCGCCTTCGCCATAGGTGGCGCAAGTTGGCAAAAGCCAATCGAGCTTTTCGAATCCGTGCTGAGATTTCGTCAGACACCAACCCATTAGGGCTGATCAGACTTCCAAGATAAGTGAAGTTGTCGACGCGTTCGACTACTTCACTCCCTATCCTTAGTTCAGGTGTTGACGCAGACCAGTCCTGAAGCAACAACTTGCATTTAGAGGGAAAGAAGAGCATTCCAAACATTCTGGCAGTGTTGCTTAGTACTACCAAAAGACTCTGCATTTTGTCAGCCTCTTCACCAAACAGGACTATATCATCTGCGTATTCTAAGTCGATAAGTGGACCTCCTGGAAGGAGATCAATACCCGAGAATTCAGTCGACGAGAGTGTTATTTCCATCAATAGGTCTATGATGAAGTTAAACAAAAATGGAGAAAGTGGACAGCCTTGACGGACACCACTTGAAGTTGCAAAAGTAGATGACAGTTCGCCATAAGCTCTGACTCGACTAGTAGTGTTCGAGTAAAGAGCCTTTACAAGGTTTATGTACTTCTGAGGTACGCCTTTCAATGACAGACACTGCCACAGAGTCTCGCGGTCTACAGAGTCAAACGCTGCTTTTGTCAAGAAAGACCACCATCGTCGGACGCCGATAGGTATGCCTGTGTTCTAGAACCTGACGAATGGTGAATATGTGGTCGATGCAGCCACGACCAGGTTCAACACAGCCTTCCATCAAGATACTGACAAACTCAACGAGTTCAAGATAGTTCTCAACAAAAAGTTCCAAGCCTTCCAAGATCTACTCAGAGAAAAAGAAACTACTATGGAGGATAACTGGAAATGGATCAAAGAAGTACTAACTTCAACGTGTCAGGAGGTTTTGGATCGCATAAATTATCATCATAAGGAATGGATCTCTATCGAAACCAAGGAAAATATTCAAAAAGGGAAGTGGGAATCAATAGGACACATATTGTGCAAATCATCAGACTGCGCCGAGGCAAGCCTTAACTTGGAATCGTGAAGGGAAAAGGAAAAGAGGAAGGCCATAGAACACACTCCACCGAGAATTGAAAGCAGACATTAAAATGATGAATAGCAACTGGGAAGGGTTGTCCCGGACAGGGTTGGATGGAAAGTGCTGATAAGCAGCCTATGCTCCTCTACGAGGGGTAATAGGCGTAAGTAGTATGTATGTCAGTGATAAGCGTCGTACGATCTGGAATATGAGAGTCGGTTTAAGCCGCCGCACCACGTCAGTACGGGATGTAATTATCAAGCCGAGTGCCAGAGTAGCAGACGTGCTAACAATTTAGTGGCAGCAGATAAGATTCGGTATAGACGAAGTGATTCAAAAAACATGAATTTTTGTAATGGTTCAAAATTCGACAAATGAAGGAAAACAAATAGTGAATATACTTTTGAAATTGTGGTTGATTCTTATCCTAGAAACCCGTGCCTAATCGCTAGTCACGATAATTGCAGATACTGATCGAGTAACATATGTTTAGTAAGATGCCTCAGCTCAACAGCCAACGACTTCATAAATCGACGTCACGTTTTGGTTTGGTTTCCCCTATATTTTTCTCAGCCTACTCCTACATTAGCAAACATCGCGCGTTGAGGTAAGATGTAGTTGGGCATACGTAATACATGTGTCTACATGTCGGCCTTAACATATGAGCGCAATAGCAACTCGAACTGATGTACGTACGTACGAAGTTTTACGTTGCTGACTGACTGATGAGCTCAACAATTCAAAGGTACTTATGACTAAATACCTACGACCCACAGATGTTGTATTTGTAGCAGCTATGTCTCACAACTGCGGAAGAGAGCAGAGCAAACTACTCATTAAATTCGTCTGACTAACATGAGAACATCTCGCCCACGCCACGAGCGGGCATATTACTAAAAAACAAACAGAAACCGTGTACAGACCTTATCAGGAACGAACCCACTAGAGTAAAATGCTTCTAAACTCCATGAGATTTTTTAAAAAATTGCACAGAAATTATGGTTCAATATGACCCAGCTGTTAATTCAGACTATGGACCTTCAGCAAAATATACTCACTTTAATCAGCCGTCCTAGAGCAGATATAAGGTCAGCCCATTCCGTAGAGTATTCAAAACTTTTGAGGGACTTATCAACTTGTGCAATAAAGCTCTTGTATTTTGCATCTTTTGGTAGATCCAAATCATCCATATGACCTTCACATTCATTAAACGCGGAAAAATACAGTGTGAGTGTTTCGCATTCAGTCTTCAGTAGTAAGGCTAGGAGGTATATCAACCTATGGTTATCCTTGCATTTTGTAATACCATAAAGATCCAATCTAGCTTCGAACTCATTAGCTTATCCTGTCATTTCTAGCCAGATTTTTACATAAATTATACTTGGAAGTTCATTTACAGTATAAAAAATAAAGGACCTAGGACAGAGCCTTGGAGTGATCCGATAAGTAATGACTTACGGGATGAGCATTTGGGATTTGTCCTTAATTTCTGTCTACGATAGAAGAAGAAGTCCCTGATCCACTTTAGGAGAGGTCTATAGCTTGGTGTAGGTGGTCTTATGAAGTCCATTGATAATTACACCCTTCCAGTCTGTAAGTGACTCATCTTAGCCAGGTGACATATTGAATATTGTAGTCATTGATACAGCAATGTATTTTGCAGTGTGTTTCAAGATTTTGAGGTGTATTTCAACAGGTTACGTTGATTTTTCCCAGTCTAACGCGATAAGTGCCTTTAGCACGTCGTCTTGATTAAAGTACGATTTCGGAACCTTGTATTTTAACGACACAACCACAAACTTGTATATGACTGTGAGGTCACTTCTCCCTAAGAGTGGAAGGAACCTTACTTAAATGACACCATCATCGTGTGTGAAAACTAAGTCTAGAACCGACGAAGAATTTCGTAAGTCCTATCTAATGAGATTTCTTATGTTCTAGAATAAAGCTATGGCGATTGCAGTTTTCACCAACTTGCAGACAAATGATGTTTCAAAGACCCTACTTCTAAGTTTATCCAATTAATAGACAGCGCATTAAAGTTTTTACATGTTTGACTAAGAGTTAAGTTTACTCAGGAAGAAGTCATCCACTATACATTCTGGACTGCGGCAGATCAAAACTAGTTAAATGTCTTGCCGTTTTTTATTTAAACTGTCAGAGCACTAGTTCACATGTCCCTGAGTTGTGTGTCACTCTCCAAACTGCTCGTATGGTTGGGGTCTTTTCATGAACAGGATAATCCCACTAACCCTAAGGTCTAGTAGGTCAGCCCTACAAAGTAAAAAACCAAGCGAATGAACTCCACTGTTTTACCTTTCTGACGTTAAACATGCTTGACGATGATATCAGGGTTTTCTATGTCCACAATGTTTTCAATCCCCACCATTTTAATGACTACCTGTGTCCAACTGTTTGCTTCTAGTACTTACTAACTTACTTACTTACTTACTTACTTACTCACTTACTTACTTACTCACCTACTTACTTACTTACTTACTTACTTACTTACTTACTTATTTATACCTGTTACCCCTCATGGAGGAACATAGGCTTCCTACCAGAACTGTCCATCCATCCTTACCTTAGACATTCATTTCCAGTGCTTCTTCATGAAGATGGTAAGTGAATAATTACTTGCTAATCAGTTATCTAAAAATATTTTGAATAGAGAATCGTTTCTTAAAGAATGCTAAATTTTTCTCATTTCTTTGTCCGTTTCTCGACGTTATGTGTTCTTTGGTCCTCCTCCATGTGAAGGCTTGCCTAGTGACGAAGTTGGGTGCTTTCCTCAATGTGTGTCCTATCCAATTCTAGGGCTTCCTTCTGATTTCTTCCTCCACTGCGATCTGGCTTGTTCTCTCCCACATTAAGTTGTTGCTGAGGGTGTCTGACCAACAGATCAGAATTATTTTGCGTAGACAACTTTGAATAAACACCTGTATCTTCTGGATGATGACTTTTGAAGTTCTTCAGGTTTCCGTCCCATATAGTAGAACTGTCTCGACATTTGTATTGAAAATCCTGACCTCGGTGTTGGTTGACGGTTGTTTTGAGTTCCAGATGTTCCTCGGTTGTAGATAAGCTGTTTTTGCTTTGCCGATCCCCGCCTTCACATGTGTATCGGATTCACTGTGTTCATCAATGATGCTTCCCAGGTATGTGAAGGATTCCAAATCTTCCAGAGTTTCTTCATCAAGAGTGATCGGATTAGTGTTCTCCGTTTTGAATTTGAGGACCTTGGATTTCCCTTGTTTATGTTGAGGCCTACTGATGCAGAGACTGCTGCCACATTGGCTGTCTTTATCTGAATTTGTTCGTGTACATGAGATAGGAGGGCGAGGTCATCTGTGAAGCCCAAATCGTCTAACTGATTCTGAGCTGTCCATTGTATGCCGCGTTTTCCCTCAGATGTCGAGGTCTTCATAACCCAGTCGACCGCCAGAAGAAAGAGGAAGGGAGAGGGTAACCAGCCTCATCTGACTCCGGTCCTTACTTAGAATGCATCTGTCAGCTGTCCTCCATGCACGACCTTGCACTGTAGTTTGTCGTATGAGTTCCGGATAATGTTGACAATCTTCTCAGGTACTCCATAGTGTCGAAGTTTTGATGTCCGGTGGATTCATTGAAGCAGACCTATTCAGGAGTCCCTCGAGGTACTCAACCCATCAGTTCCGCTGTTCTTGTCAACTGTCCTCCGCGCACGAGTTCGCAGCTTAATCCATCATAGGAATTCCGTATGATATTGACTATATTCTCAGGTAAGCCGTAGCGTCGAAGAATCTCCCATAGTGTTGTCCTGTCCACGCTATCAAATGCTTACTCATAGTCAATCAAGTTGATGTAGACCGATGAATTCCATTCAATCCATTGTTTCACAATGATCCGTAGTGTTGCGATTTGGTCTATACACGATCTATCCTTACGGAATCCTGCTTGTTGGTCTCGAAGTTGGGCGTCTACGGTGTCCTTCATTCTGTTTAACAATACCATGTTGAAGACTCTTCTTGGTATTGAGAAAAGAGTGAGGCGTCTGTAGTTCTCGCACTTGCTGAGATCGCCCTTCTTTGATATTTTGGTCAAAAGTTCTTCTTTCCAGTCTGTTAGTACTTGTTCTTCATCTCAAATCTTGCTGAACAGAATATGGAGTATCCTTGCAGTTACTGCTACATCTACTTTCAGTAGCCCTGCTGGAATGTTGTCTGGTCCTGCTGCTTTGCCACTCTTGATTTGTCTGATGGCCATGCTGATCTTTTCAATTGTTGGTGGGCCAACATCGATTGGGAGGTCCGTGGGTGCTACTTCGATGTTGGGTGGGTTCAGTAGGGCTGGTCGATTCAAGAGTTCTTCGGAGTGTTCTACCCATCTGTTTCGCTGTTGTTCTTTGATGTTTGTTGTTACCATGTATTCCATGCTTTTCACTGGCCGCCCTGGTTTAAGATAATTTCCGACGAGTTTCTTTGTTGTGTCACACAATTGTCTCATGTTTCTTTCTCTTCCAGCCTTTTTCGCCGTTATCGGTAAATCCTCCACATATTTACGTTTGTCGATTCTGATTCTTCCCTTCACTCGCTTCAGCTTGTGCCTTGGATATCTCAAATCCTGTTCGGTTGGTGTTGATTGCTGTCTTTTTGTTTTTCCTTTGTTGAATCTTATCCAGTGCATAAACAGTGATCCATTCATTGTGATAGTGCTTCTTGTGACTCAGAACCTCATAACATGTTGAAGTGATTGCTTCTTCGATCCACTTCCAGTTGCTTACCATAGTAGTTCGCTCTCCATTGAGTAGATCATGAATGGCTTGGAATCTATTGCTGAGGACTATCCTGAATTTGCTGGATTTGTCATTATCTCGAAGAAAAGTCGCATTAAACTTTTGTGCTGTTGTTCGCCCCATTGTCCGGTGCTTCTTGAGTTTCAATTTCACCTTGGCGACCAGCAAGTGATGATCTGAGGCTATATCAGCTCATCTCTTGGTTCTCACATAGTCTATCGTCCTCCTGAACTTTTTGTTGATGCAGATATGGTCAATTTGGTTCTGTGTAGTGTGATACAGTGAAGTACATATGGTTTTGTGTATGCGTTTGTGTGGGAATGTAGTTCCGCCTATGACCAGTTTATTGAAGGCACATAGGTTTGCAAATCTCTCACCATGTTCGTTCCTTTCTTCCATTCCATGTCGTCCCATGATGTCTTCATATCCAATGTTGTCCATTCCAACCTCGGCATTGAAATCTCCCATCAGAATTGTCAATTCCTTTGTTGGGCACTTCTCGACGATTTACTCCAACCGCTCGTAAAATTGATCTTTAATGTCTTCATTGTAGTCGCTGGTAGGCGAATAGCATTGGATGACGTTCATTGAAATGCCCTCTTTCTTTGTTTTGAAGGAGGCTTTGATGATCCTTGGTCCCTGAGATTCCCATCCTATAAGTGCATATTGTGCTTGCTTTGATAGCATCAATGCAACTCCTTGTGTATGTGGAGCATTCTCTCCTTCATAGCCAGAGTATAACAGAAGCTTCCCTGAAGCTAGTAGTTGTCCAACTTGCGTCCAATGTGTTTTACTGATTCCAAGCACCTCTAGGTTGTATCTCCTCACTTCTGAAGTGATTTGGAAGACTCTTCTGTTCTCCCACATTGTACGAGCATTCCATGCACCTAAATAAATGGTCACTCTGGTTGTCAGAAGGGGCATCAGTCTCGAAGGAACTCGGCTTCCATCATGAGACCTTCTGACTCCCAGGGCAGAGTTTAAGTGGTTTGAATAATCCTTTCTAGTTAGCGTTTTTTTGGCGAGTTAATTTTCTACCGGATGGAGTCGCTAACCCCTTGCCCAACCCACCTCCTTTATCCAGGCCTGGGACCGGCAGTAGCCCTGGAGAGGCTCCAGGCGGGGTTCTTTGCTTCTAGTACTTCTCTCTGTGTGTTATAGGCGTGTATGTATATGCAAGAAGCACAAGCAAGGTACGCAGAAAAATATCTACCGTATGTCCAATAAAATCAGTAGCCTAATACTTCAGGTCGAAGACATAAGAATATATAATAGCAAACACTGGCGAGAGTTGAGCATCAATCTTCTCTGGAAGATTGCGTGTGTTTATTAGCATGCTATGAAGTGCTGGAACCAAAGCCGGGGGTAACGATTTCCACACTAAATCCCATCCATGTGGCGATATTATGAACTCTA